TTGAAAAATTCGTAATATTTCAACACATATAGGTGAGATTTCAAAGTGCAATTGCACGAAGATTCCATCATGGATATCTATGTTCTCTCGTTTTGTGACAACTTCTTTCCTGTTTCTATATTTCTGTCCTATACCTATACTAGTGTTTTCTCAACGGGAGCATAAAATAAAATAAAACGGCCGCTATTCTATGAAAGGCTCTAGTTTAGTGAACGTTCGTTGAACATATACTACCTAAAATAACGAGTTTTTCCGATTTTTCAGGTTTTTCTATTCGCGGTAGCCAAGGTCATCATCTGCCGTTGAGATGACATGAAAACTACGAAAAACGTTCCTAACTCCTGGCTTAGATTGAAAGTTAGACATGTTTTCCAGGTGATGACCTTTTGGCTACCGCGAAAAAGAAAGACGGTCTAAATTTTAACAATATAAACGCTATTCACGAACGGCGTTAATATCCTTTATCCTTACGCTGACCCCGTTCGGACGCCTCTGAGCATGAACTGGAACAGTTAGAACGTTGGAACTGTTAGAAGTGGATACTTATATGATATAACATATCAAATACCGTGTTGTAGGAGATAGGGGGGCTATATCCGCCCGCACTAACGTCCTTGTCAAGGATATCAACTACTGTTTTGGTTTGATTTGATGCTTGTTCGATGTCTGCACGTCTACATGGATGGAGGATACTCTCTCAGGTGCGTTGTGTTGTGAATCTGGAACACCGACATAACTTCTTTACTATCTATCTGAATTCGATACAAATTTCAAAACTGATAGGCACCTATACAAAATACTTAGCTGTTTCTATTTGAAAAATTGAAAACATTAGGTATACTTCTGGGTAGCACTAAGCAAACAATGAAAAACATCATCAGAAGCAGCATACAAACTGAAGAGTCTTTACTGACGCTGGCTGGACATTTCATTCATACTTATTTATACCTATATATCGGCCGGGTGGTCACAAAAAAACCGGAAGTTTTTATTTTCCTCGTGGTTTCATCATTTCTCAACCGAATTCGAATTTCTTGGCGTCGTTTCATAGCCAAAGGGCTATAGTATACAGTGGTATATTTGAAAATTTCATAATGAACAAAAACAAAATGGCGGATTCTACCAAAGTATTGTCATTTACAAAAACCGCTGGAGATAAAGAAAATCAGATTTTTTCCAATCTGCACCGATATTATTTTAGGCTATTCATTTCTGAAGAGAATGAGTAGTCGAACATCGGAATCGAACAAATAGTCCAGTAGATACACTCATTTTTTTGCAATTTGTTATGGAGTGAATGTGCTAATCTCGAATAAACGATTATTATTATTTTGCTTCAGGCTTCATGAAAATTCAATCGAATTTGGATTTCTTAGAGTTATTTCAAGGATAAAGAACTGTAGTACACAATGGAACATTTGAAAATCCAATAATTGAAAGAAACAAAATGGTGGAGAATCCAGAATTGTTGTGATTTTCAAAAATCTCTGGCGAATAAAAAAAATGTTTATTCTTCCAATCAGGACCGATACAATTTTAGATCATTGATTTCTTGAAAGAATGAGCACTCGAACATCTGAATCGAACAATTAGTCCAGGAAAAACACGTTCTTTTTGGCAAAGTGTTATGGAATGAATGTGCTAATCCCGTGATAAGAATTAGTTTTAGTTTGCTCCTGGCTTTATCAGAATTCAATCGAATCTGGATCGTTGATTTGGTTTTGATAATGAATAATAGTTATATATGTATCAAGGCAGTCCCCGCGAGATTAACCCGACGAGTTGAGGCTTCGCACCCCTTCGTGCTCACTTTGGAGACCTGCAGAACATCTCTTGGAACCATGGACTTGTTCATCCAACGAACAGCGAGGCTCTGGAACACATTACCAAGGGAGGTGTTCCCCGAGGCCCCAAGAACACCAATTCCTACCTTATTTCCCTTGGTTCTCACGATGTTCTCTGAACATTACAGGATATCCCTTTTCGTGGGAACCAGAACATGAAAAAAACCATCTCCCATTTCTCATGATACACTCCTTCATATCGTCTGAACTATATATATTCGTTTCCTTCAAAAAATGTTATAGATAATTCAATTTCCTTCAACTGGTCAACAGCTACAACAATTTTAAGGATTTCTGTGAAATATCGTAATTTTAGAAGCCGCAAAAAATATTGTTTGTTGCATCTCTGTATGAAATAATGTATTGCCACACTTGAAAACAGGGTATTTCATGCAGTAGAGGAGTGATGGTTGAAGATATACGCAGCTTCCTCAATGATTTCAGATTTCAAGCACAATTTTGAAAATTTCACCTTATTCCTCCTGGACGTTGCAGATGATGTTATGTCGCAGCCGGTAAATAAATGTTAGAAAGGATGTGTTCAAATCAATGTTGCTGCATCTCTTGATTGGACACAGACACAGAACCAAGTTTTGGAACGATTTTCCGATGCTAGCGCCTCTGTCGTTAAATACATGAACCCCACGTCCATAACCCGCTTGCAATTGTTTGAAATCGAATATTAGTCTGATTAAACAATTGAGGAGTGAGCACGACACCAGGTAAATTTCTATACATCTCTGTTCTGAACGAACGTCAACATTTGACGATGCGCTTTGTTTGTATGAAACAATATGAATTCAAAGATCATCACCATCGAAACCCTGGTTTAACAAAAACTGTTCTAGAACTGTTAGGTACCTTGAAACAAACAGCCTACCATCGCTGGCGCAAAAACCCTAACCTCGCGACTAGAGCAGAATACGTTGATGCCAGAAATAACTGCAGCCAAATAATAGATGCTTCGAAAGAAACATACAATGCCAAGATAAGATCGAAACTCATAGATTGTCCCAATGGCTTCCGTTCGTTTTGGTCCCTTGCTAAAGCGGTAGGAAGAAATTTCACTAATAGTTCATTTCCACCACTGTCCAAATCCGACGGCACATTAGCAACAACATCGCAGGAGAAAGCAAATATTTTTGCAGAGATTTCCGCAGCAAACTCTACTTTAGATTCCCAAGGAAAAGTGCCGCCAGACATTCCACCCGTTGAGAGTCGAATGCCCGAAATCGTCTTCCTCAAAAAATGTGCGCCAGAATTAACACCGATTCTCTGCAAGTTGTTTACCGCCTCGTACAGGTCGGGTATATTTTTCCATCATGCTGGAAGACAGCTAGAGTACAACCAATCCCCAAAAAAGGGAACAAGAACCCGCCCAACAACTACAGGCCCATTGCCCTGTCATCAGTAATCTCCAAGGTGATGGAGAAAGCCATCAATATCTGGAATCATCAATGATAGACAATACGGCTTTCGCCACCGAAGATCTACTGGAGATCTACTTGCCTATGTCACCCATTTATGGCAAGCTTCATTAGAAAAACACGGGCAAACTCTAGCTGTCGCGTTGGACATATCGAAAGCATTTTACCGTGTGTGGCATGAAGGACTCCTCCACAAACTACCATCATACGGCTTACCACCTCAGCTATGCCATCTCTTATCGAGTTTTCTTTCAGGCAGATCGCTTCACGTGGTGTTGTGGACGGTATATCGTCTGATACAATTGGCATCAATTCCGGCGTTCCACATGGATCAATTTTGGCACCAACATTATTCCTTCTTCATATCAATGATCTGTTGGGAGTAACAACTTGCCCCATCCACAGCTTTGCAGATGATAGTTCCCTCCGTACTACGTTCTCTTCCAGAATTCCCATTTCTTCCCAGGAAACTAAGAACTCACGGCGCAGGCAGGTCAATGCTGTCAATGAAGACCTTGCTGAAATCACAGCCTGGGGAAGCAACAACCTAGTTGAATTCAACGCCACCAAAACTCGAGCCTGTATTTTCTCTAGAAAGGCGGATATTTTAATGTCTGGCACCACCATCCCCACCAAATCTATGCTCGGTATTTCCATCAGCAACACTCTTTCATGGGATAATCATGTCAGATCCATCGCAAATGCTGCTTCACAAAAACTATCATTCTTGTTCCGTGCGGAAATCTACTTTACACCTCAACAGCTTCACATGATCTACAAAGCGCAGATACGGCCTGTTCTAGAATACTGTTCCCACATATGGGGTTCAGCACCAAAACATACGCTGATGCTCTTAGATTCCATCCAGAGAAGAGCCATCCGCCTGGTGGGTGACGCCACACTCACTCACTCTTTGACATCATTGGAACACCGTAGAAAGGTCGGCGACCTTTCACTTTTCTATCGATACTTCAACGGGAAATGTTCCATCCATAGAACGGCTAGGCTCTGGAATTCATTGCCTGAGGAAGCATTCCCAACAACATTCCCTTTCGTGCGATCCAAGCGATAAAAAAAAAATTGGTCACTATAGATATGGAAATTATTCTAAATTTCTGATTGGTGGAACTACTTCATGTCTATCCACCATATATCTACTACTCATATATAAAGCATAGCTGTCCCCAAAGCGGGACCAACTTCTGTCTATAGAGGCCTGTTCGTTTGTGCTTGCTCAACCTGCTAAACTTGATTTCTTTCTATGACTTTCTTTGTTTACATCATGGCATGAACAGAGACAACTATGGGAAAAAGATCAACTTTAGCCAGTTTAGTAATACAAACGAACAGGCCTTAGGTAACGAAATCGATCAATAGGCGTTGATGCCGACGTAGGGAAAAATAATACGAAACTTGTCAAACCAATATGGCTGTTTCCATCCTTCACTTTCCGTCCTTATGGATTCAAAAAATACCTCTGATTTTGGTCCCATTTTTTTTAGATATCGTATAGGCGATGGGCCATATATAGAAATAGTACATTAATATATGATATCCACGTACTTTCGTCATCATACAAGGTAGCTTAGCTCAATTGAACGTGCTGATTGGTTTAAAAATCATTCGAAGAAAATAATTAGTGAAACGAACTGTTGGCGATCTGGACAGAACAAACCCGGTAGAGATGCACGCTCAACCTACAAATCATAATTCCTGGAATAAAACGAACTTTTACTATGCGCATCATTTAATAATTAACCAGCTTTGCGACGGCGGCCAAACACCGCCATTTGTCTGGCAAGTAAAAGGGCTCGAAAACGTGCGGGAACGGCGTGTCGAAGCCCGTGACTCGGGCAATGGGTGCTTCGAGATGTAGGAAACATTCCTCCTGGAACAGACAACACAAATCAAATTCAGAAATGAATTTTATAGTCGTGATATCTCATGCATAATGATATGAGTACAAGTTGAGCGAAAATCGATGGCGTTTGAGGCTCCATCAGAAGGGAGCATCTCGTTGAAACCACATCTCGTTCAAGTCACATTTCGTCGAAGACACATTTTGTTGGGCCACAAAATGATAAGTGACGGCCCATCATGACATTTTCATCAAGCTCAAGATGGCAACAGTGACTGTGGCAGGGGCATCCTCAGAAATGATCTGGGGGGGGGGGAGGGGGGGCAAGTCAAAATGATAATGCACAATATTCAGTACGCATATCAAAAGAACTGTTTTTGCAGGAACTATATATAAAATGCGAATTCACACCTTCAAAAGCGGAGGTACAGTCGTCTTCAGAGATCATGTCGTGGTTGGACGGTGTCAGCGCTCTTAATGCAGGAGTTTTTAAGAATGCTATCATCGTCCATATGCGACATGTTTTCTGAAGACGACTGTACAGAGTACAGAAAGTTTTTATCACACATGTTCGCAGATTTATAAAGAAAACTTACGGAAACAGTTTGGAAAATGCGAGCACACTTGTTCGTTGTTTACAAAAAGCAATATGGCTATTATTTATCTGTGGTCATGATAAATTGAACTCTATTTATTTTTGTGTCCAGATTTTCATTTTCGTAAATTACAAATGTCATATTGACAATAAAATTGATTCAATTATGAGATTCTTTCAATTGAAATAATTGCATCGTGCAAAAAGTAGTATTTATATTATATACCTCGGAAGTGAGCTCTATTTACCCTCTGTGCATTGTAGCGCCCTCTGATGGCTACAAAAGCACCTAGGGAAAAATAATGCACTTTATTTTCTAGATGAATAATCTTATATTATTTTATATTATTATAGAACGTGCGAATAAAAAAAACAAGAGAAGTTAAATTGACATCACATTCTGTTTACAGCGAAAATTACAATAAAAAAATGCACGTGATAATAATCTTGTTTGAACAAAAATAGCCATAATCTTCTACAGTATTGAGCTTTATCAATTACTTTGTTGATGTAATCAACTATATATCTATTTATAAGATGTCGATGAATACTCATTGAACAAAGTCTCTGGAAGTCACCATAATAAGTGAATCAGAATAGGGATTGAATAATTCAAATATATCTTGTTGAGAAAGTATCTGAGTAAGGAGCAGGCGCTAGGGGGACACAAACATCCCTGGGATGTCACATTCATGCCTCACTAGGTAACAATACGAATTACAACAAAACATCATTGGTATTGTCAGGGGCTCTATTTTACAAAACATTTGCAATATTCGTCCCATCTTATTAGGTTTGATACTAAAAATGTTAGTGAATTTATGACGCTCTCTAACAACCAAGAGACTCACTGGAACGTCACATTATTGTCTATTTATGTAACAAACGGAATCAATCAATCTTGATGTTGAATGAGGAGTCGCTTAATACCTACTGTGAGTTTCATTTGGCATCATAATGTGAATCCTAAAATGACCAAAAGGATCCGGAATAGCGGTCATTGTGATTTCACTAGGGCTCTCATTTCGAGTCACGGATGTGACTGAGGGTCCCCCGTTTGTGAAGTTTTTCTGCGATCGAATGCTCATGCTTGAGGGAGATGTGGCTCAAATGTGGTTTGAATGAGATGAGGGTGTACAGCAATGTCTCGTTAGAGTCGCAGTATCCATCTCAATAGAATAAGGAACTTGAGGTATCGTTCGTGACCTCAAAAATATGTCGCTTGAACGGAATGTGGCTTGAACGAAATGTGGCAGAATGAGATGTGCGATGTGGTTTCAACGCGACGCACCCGAAAGTTGTTATACACTGTTCTACCTCAATCCGAAATAACAAATTGCTTTGAACTGAAATTAGTCGTCGAAATACTTATAATTAGTGATGATATTACTCAGACTCGCCACCATACTCCTTTAACCTTTCCTTCCACCCAATTCTTACATCAGAATAGGTGATATACAGTACAATAGATCATTTGAAATACCACATATTTCAGAAATTTGAATATCAAGCAACAGAAACAGAATTCACGAACTCGTGGCACTTTGACCAAATCAAGTATTGTAGGTATTATTATGAGGAAATATTTTCTCAGTCATCACTGGGACAACAATGGGTCGGCTAGCAGGTCAGGGTCAATTTCGAGATTTACCATTGAAAAATGTCTGGGGTTTTTCGAGGGGTTTTTCAAGAATTGTTTTTTTCGGCAACCTCTTTCCGGACGATCATACTTTGGGAAAGTGGCACATTCTTGACCAAGTCTAGGAAGATTCTATTTCCCAGGCTAGACCGGAAAGTATCATGTCGTTGTTGTAGGATATAGAATATTCAATAAGCTTCAAGGGTATAGGTACATACTTGTGTGTATTTTACGCTGCTGAATAGTTTTTCTTGAACTCAAATTGATAGCATTATTCAGACAGTATGTAACAAATTAGAACTGAATATTCGATTACTTTCAGTAGAAATTGTTGAAATGCAGTTTGAAATCTTCAAATTACACATATACACGTATACTATGAAAGCAATGAAGGTCCATTTCCTCCCATCTCCCATGTAATCAGTAGTATTGATTTTTTCATTCTTTTTGCGTTTTACCCATCAATTGAATATTACCTGTATTGTTGCGACTATTTCAGCACCAAATCCGCCAGTTAGTGGAGCTTCATGTGCTATCAGAACTCGTTTAGTTTTCTTAACCGACTGAAAGAAAAACAAAGTTATTTTTTTACTACTATATGTTCAACTTGTAGTAGTCAAAATCGTATCACTGACGATAGACCATTCTACAATGAGCGCTGCAGTTCGGAACGTCCAAAGATAAGTGAAATTTATACATTTCAGTATACCTATATTCTTCTTATTCTTCGAATATTTCTCGAGATAAGTGTTTTTCAGGTTTCTTGAAGTAAAATTTTAAGTGCAGTGACATTTTGAGACGAATCATCTGATTTATTGTTTTAACTACAAGTTTTTATATTTGAATTGAACAGGCCCAACATAATATATCGCCTTGAATAAATAAAAGGCGTCGTGGTATTGATAGACCAGCTATTACATCACTGCAAAAAATATCAAGTTAGGTCAGTAATTTTTTTAGAGTTCTATTGTGATAAAAAACTAATTTAATGTGCACCATGTTAGTAGGTCCCTCACAAATTATTAAACAAGTTTTGTTCAATGTATTCCACTTTTTATTATATCTCAAAAATGAAGCGGATTATGAAAATTGTGTTTGCGGTATCGTGAGTATTACAAAAAAAGTAGCCAACGTTCGCGAAAATTGCCGTCTTTTAAGAGTGTGACTCTTCCATTTCCTTCGTAAAATGTGTTTGAAAATTTATTCTAGGAGTGTACGGAAATCAATAAAAACAATACCACATTTGATTCAACAAAATAAGTACCTAGCTGATATTTACCTTACAAACAGTGTCCATGTCCCATGGCAAAATAGATACTAGATCTATAACTTCACAAGACACGCTGTATTTTTCTTTAGCTAATTGTGCTACCTGTTTGAGAACATGCACTTGGGCTCCCCAACCAATGAGAGTAACATCGCTACCTGAAAAATTTTTAAAGTTGAAAAGTATTCCAGTTTGAAATTAATTCGGCTGTATTGAGAAAATATCTAGTAAGCACACAAATATAGGCTACTTGATTAATTTATGTATTCTTTTTTCTAATAATAATAATAACATTCATTGATCCCAAGAAACATACATGTTTATAGAAGGATACAAAAAATAATAATAACAAAATATATTTCTTCAGTTCACACAAACAGCTGACTATTGATGAATTTTTATGCACACAGAGTTTTTCATTTGAGGAATTCGATACCTTTTCCTCTTCAACTTCAAACTTTCCTTCATGATCAAAAAATAAGAGCTCATATTATTGGTAATCTTTTAGTGAATTTCAATCTGTTATTATATTATTCACCATTTTTTGATCGGTAAGTAAATTACCGACCGACATTGATTATATTATCATATTATGCGAATGATTTTAGCGATCCTTCAACTCCAAAGTAACAGGTCTTCAACAATGATTGAAAACCACGAGACAGATTACTATGCAACCAAGAATACATCTGTATCTCTTTAACGTGGATGGAAAAGAGACGCCGCATCAAAAATGATTACGTGGCATTCAATCATTTTTGTGGTATACCACAATGTAATATTGATCAAGTAACTACTAGAAAAGTTCAGGTAGACATACTGTTTTCTATTTTCAAATAATTTTCAAACCATTTATGATTTTTTTTCCACCTTAACACCTATATTGATGATAGTTTAGGTACCTTCTGCAAGAATATCTGCTCTACCGATTGGCAACTGAAAATCTCCTACGGGCACGTCTTCCTCTGCTCCCCTGTATAATATTTTCGGTTCTAATACCAAACAAGGGTCTGGATCTCTAATACAACTCAGTAAGAGACCTTTCGCCTTAGTTGGACCTCTTGGAATCACTACCTGAAATAAAAAAAAACAAGTTCAGCAGAACTCCAAACCTGTTTTTTTTTCATTGACTTGCGACGTTCACTTTTTGTCGAAAAATGTTGTAAAGATATTCCTAAACTCCACCGTATGCTCTCGTGAGCAGATCTCACAAGCATAAATACAAAAATTGACTCAAGAAAAGTAAATAACTATAGTCTAAACTGTTTACATATCACACTTTGAGCTTTGCATATTTATCCAACATTTCATTTCACTTCGAGAATTTTGGCTTTTTTTAGTTAAAATTATGCCAGTCGGGTAATCAGCCCCTCCCATTTCATCTGAAATGGGAATTTTTTTGGAGGGTTCATTCCCCTCTATCATAGATGGCGTTCGTGCCCGTTTTGCAGTGACCGAACGCCTCGTAGGTATTAAATGCTGAGAGATGTTAACGTTGGGTCAGGTTCGCAGCAGATGGCGGTCAAGAATTCCATCTGGGGACACCCCTACACTGAGGAGAGCCAAAGCTCGAAACCGATCTGTATATGTAGTCAAGCGTTCCTGAACAATTTAAGTACAAGTCAGCATTTAGGAAATGAACACTTGCAATTTTATTCGTCCATACCAATCGTTGCATTGATTTCGGGAGGATGTAATTCAATGTTCTGCGTGGCATATAGCCAGGAAAGGAATTGTTTTTCTCTCGTTTTCTGCCAGTTTCGTTTATTTATGAACATTTGTGGAAATTACTTTGAGCTTTGCAAATTTATCCAACATTTCATTCTACTTTGAGCATTTTGGTTTTCTCGTAGTTGAATAATAAGCTAATTATCCGAATACCGAATAGGATTGATGATTGAAATTGAAATGCTAATTTCAATATGTTTACCATGATTTACCTTGAGACCAGGAGTATGTGCAAAATAAGCTTCAGGACTTTGGGAATGATACAAGGCACCGTGTCCTACTGCTCCACTTTTTTTCCACGGGAAAAAAGTGAGTAGGTACTTTTTCCCCGGATATATATATATATCACATATATATATACACTGTTGATGGTGTTTGTTGTGTTATAGTTCCGAAAAATAAGCAAATAACACCGTCTCCAAAAAAGAAGTGCGAGTCCTTTCATCTTCCATTCGATTTCGCGGTTACGTAAATTACTAAACAACCACTAAATGCGCAATTTATTAAAATCTAATCACATAATCAGACTGACCTTGAGACCAGGAGTATGTGCAAAATAAGCTTCAGGACTTTGGGAATGATACAAGGCACCGTGTCCTACTGCTCCACAAGGTGCACGTACTGTCAGTTTCCCACAATCGAATGTACCTCCAGACCTGTACCGGTATTTAGCTGCTTCATTCACCAACTGAAAGTAGTTAATTGATATATTGAATTATTTGACAGAAAAATGTCTCACACTGCTTTCAGTCATATTGTTTATAAGTCTGTATCGTGTCCTTTGTGTTTACCAATGTCATTAGTACTAATAGTGTTGAATTACATTACATACGAGTAAATATTTCTTAAATGTGCTATGAAATAGTACTGCAGATGATTTGAATTCATGCTGGAAAACTTCAAAAATTGATAGAAAAAAAAAAGAAATACTGGTATAATAATAATTCAGAAAAAAATGTATCATGAAAATCGTTATTGATAATTTTATAACGAATGAGGTCGACTTATGATGTTCCGAAAGTTGAAAATGTTTACAAGTAGCATATAAACTTTAGTTTTTCAATCCCAAATCATGCAAGGCTGAAAAAATAAACAGGGTCCTCCATTTGAGGAAATGAAAGAATTCAAGTTCAAAACTAAAGAGAATATTATAATTTTTGGCAATCCTGCATAATTTTAAAAAGCAAAAACGAATCTTAAACATAACACAATCATATGTTTTGTAATCATTATCGATAAATATTTTTTTCTGTGACGGGAAAAAATTTTGATATTTTATCTTTGTTGACAGGTAACAAAATGTCACATTTAAAAAATTCCTTTTTCCTCCAAAAAAAAGTGTAAATTTTTGTTGTTGTTGTACTAGTTCCAGAAAATAAGCCAATATAACATCGTCTTCGGGAAAGAACTGCATTTCATTTTCATCTTCTATGCAATGAATCTTTTTTAACTTGATATTATTCAAAATAACTACTAAACAACCAGTAAGTTCGCAATTTCCACACACTCCACTGAATCAAATTGACAGATATTTGAAAAGGGTTCCTAAGCAGTACAATTACAACAGCCTACCAGTTTGAAACTTCAAATTTCACATCAATAATTTTATGTCTTCAATACATTGTGATATTTTTTCAATATCAAATCGTCGGCGGAAAAATATAAGATTTTGACTCTCGGTTTCTCAGATGATTTGGACACGATCTCTTGAAATCATATCTTGAAAATAGAACTATTAGAACTAAAATTAATAACTGTGAGTCTAAGATACTATATTTAAACAAAGGGGTTCCTCAAGGATCAGTGTTGGGTCCAATTATTTATCTATTATACATTCAAAATATTGAAAGAATGAATTTGGTAGGAAACTATACCATATATGCAGACGATACAGTGCTTTTATATGAGAATAAAAACCCAGTAGTTCTAGAACATATCATAAACGAGGACTCGAAAAAAATTGAGAAATGGCTTTATTCCAATCTTCTTTCTCTTCATTCTAATAAGACCCAATATATAATTTTTTGGCAAGGAAATAAACAAAATATTGATCTTAAAATTTGAATAAAAAATGAACGTTTGAAACAAACTGCCCATACCAAATACCTTGGTATTTGGCATGGGCAATGAGAAATTAACATGGGAAAAGCATATTGACATCCTCATAGGAAAAGTAGCTCCCATTATTGGTGCTTTAAGAAGATGTCCTTAACTTAGTATATATACATCAGATATTATTCTCTATTCACATATACTCAGTCGAATTAACTATCTCATAAATATTTAGGGATCTTGTTCCGAAAATAGTTTCAACAAAATTCCTGTTCTATATAAAAAGGCACTGAAAGTATTGTATTGTCTTCCATATGATACTCCAACGAATAAACTCTATAAGGATACATTTTCTTTGGGAGAGCACTTTTTAATCAATACTCTCAAAATTTTCCATTATATCATCAACAAAAAGCTTAAATCAAATTTTATATTAATTTGGAAGTCCCAAATTCATGGTCATCACACTAGACAATATAACTCGTTTCATCTTGAAGCTGCAAATTCTAAACTTGGACAAGAAAAGTTTACACATGAGGCGATTCCGAAATTCAATAAATTACCAGATGATATCAAAACAGCCCAAATATTATACAATTCAAAAATAAAGTGAAGAAATATATTTATTTCTGACAGTGACATTATAAGCTTATATCGTCATAGTTACAATATCTATAATGAGGGTCATAACTCCCTTGGGATGTTATAGATGCTATAATTCCCTCTAGCTAAAATTAAATAAGAAATGCATAGCAACAACCACGCAATAACGTAGCAATAAGGAATCTCCTATTCGCGGTAGTCAAGATCATCATCTGACGTTCTGATGACATTGAAACTATACGGAAAAACATGTCTAACTTCCAATCGGGAAGGTATCTAATGAATGAAATCAGTCAGAAATAAAATTATCTATGTATCACGGGAATTACTGAGCCTCAATAACCTCTGGCAATTGCTGTCCCTCGGGCCAGAGGCCCTCGGGACGCAAACTTTGCCATCGGTAATTAAGGCCCTCATAATTCCCTTAATACATAAATAACTATTATATGCAAAGGAATGGTCAAAGCTGAAAGACTATGAATTTCCTTTTTTTTTTTCTTTTTTTTTTTCTTCACTGTTTTTTCTTCTTCTTGTTCACTATAATATTTTGAGATATCTTGATGATATGTAAGTTTTGTTCACTATTTGTAATTTCAATTATACAACAGTCGATAATACTTCATGAATGATCTTAGATCTTGTACCAGGAATTACTGTCTGATCATTCTTATCATTCCTACTAGAAAATTAATTATACTTTATATATTATTTGTATAAAATGTATCAATGAAGAGGAGAATGAAATAAATAAATAATTCACCTGATCGAAGGCAGGGAAGATGTAATCAGCGAACTGTATCTCGGCAATCGCTGTCGAGCCCACGGCCGCCACCCCGATGGCGAACCCCGCGATGCCCTGTTCGCACAGCGGCGTGTTGAACACCCTGTCCTTGCCGTACTTGTCCCTGAGGCCGAGCGTGCATCGGAACACGCCGCCGAAGCCGACGTCCTCGCCGAACACGAGGGCCGTGTCGTCCGTCCTTAAGGCGATGTCCAGGGCGCTGTTGATCGACTGGAACATGTTCATTTTGGTCTTCTCTCCTGTGGAAATCATGAGATGGATGAGATAACTAAACTGGTCAACATTGATAACGTCGTGCTCCAAAATATAGCCTGAATTCAAAGTAGAATAACTCACGAATTTCCTTACCAATTTGAAATCGGTTTTCACCGATGATTAGCCTAACCTCTTGATAGTTTGTTGTGGCAATATAAAACTTCTGTAATTTCAGATAACATTGCTACAGGGTGATAATTGAATGGGTGTAAAATTGGGTGTCGCGTCAATTGGACGTGGAAAATTGGACGCACGACTATTGGTCGCAGTCAATTAGACGCGGAGACAATTCGACGCGGCGACAATTCGACGCGGCGACAATTGGACGCATGCGTAAATAAAAATTATTTTATAATTCCAATGAAATTCATTGTATAAAATATGAAATACTGATGGGCTTATATCCATAATTATAACAAATACCTGACAGGTTAGGTTAGGTTAGGTTAGATATTTGTTATATTATAGATATGAGCCCTGCATATTCCATGCAATAAATTTCATTGGAATTATAAAATTATTTTTATTTTCGCATGCGCTCAATTGTCGCCGCGTCCAATTTTCGTCGCATCCAATTGTCGCCGCGTCCAATTGTCGCCGCGTCCTATTGTCGCCGCGTCCAATTATCCGCGTCCAATTTTCGTGCGTCCAATTGACCACGTCCAATTGTCGGTAATCCGTAAAATTGCATCGTGGTCGTCACCTTACCGTTTGAACAGATAATTTTTTAAATTTTTTTTCTCACCTGTATCCTCTTGATTGATGTTTCTCTCGAACCGTTTTCGGAATTTTCAAATTCAGAGCTTTGATAATCGTGTTATGAATATTCATTCAAAATGATGCATTTTTTCGACGATTAATTGAGAAAAAGAATCAACGGTGTATGTATAGTCGTCGGATATGTGATCGTGTTCGAACACAGAAAATTCTGAAAAAGTCTATACAAAGTGATACAAGAAATACTGAATGATGGAATGGAAAATAACGTAGTCTTCAGTAGATGAAACATAATTTTCTCTGTGTTACTTGTGGAATAATGGAGTGTTACTTCGTCATGAGGATGTCTGCTGTCTGACCTCGAAATGGTTTTGTTATTTCTTGGATCGAAGGTCATGTAATGAAAGTACGCATTTTTAATCGAAATGATGCATTTTCGTTAGGATAATTTATAAAATTAAAAAAATTACGATTGTAGTTCCAGAAGTATAAAATTCATATTTATTCTTGACGGTGCGATAAAAAATATGTTCAGATTGTCACGGGATGAAGAAGGATATGTTTAAACGTGATGAAAATCGCTATGTTCCGAAAAAGGAATATAGTGTCGGTCATGGTCGAAATTTGTGAAATGTATAAATACAGTAACTTTTCATGAGGTTTATACGAGGAAATATGAAAACATATGAATATGTTTTTCATACTAATGAAGATGAATACAGTAAGTCCTCATGAGCAGGGGCGGACTGGCCCAGAGGGCGGGAGGGCGAAGCCCTCCGCGCCTTCGCCCAGTGGCGCCCCTGCCCCTGGTATACTAAAAATCCAAGAAAGTAAAGAAAAACCGCGCCGCTATCGCGCCCGACAAAGGTCAGAAAGCAAGTTTTTTTTTCATTTTCGAATGCAGACTTTTTACTCGGAATGACGACTTGTTACTTGGAATTCTGGACCACCTGGTATAAAAAGTATGTGAGCTTTTACTTCTTCTTTTTCATAAAAATTCTTGACCCCAGAAGAACCATTTTTGTGTGATGAATTGGTAATTACTCAATCAATTTGGAAATGTACTGGATGAAACGTTATAAATTACTACTTCCTGTAGCTATTTTATTTTTCAAATTTCAAAAATAAATAAAAACTTCAAACATTTTTATCATCTTCCCTAGGAACGCACGATGTTCTTTGAACATTATAGGGATTCCCTTTCGTGCGCTCCGAGCGATAAAAAAAAATCTAAATATTAAAAAATGTGAGAGTTTTGAGTAGAACATCTTATATACAGGGTCCAACGATTTAATAGGGAGAGTATTGCTATGTCCTAAACGGTTAGAGATATATAGAAATTCGATCAGATTGAACAGAAGTTTCGTCAACCTCCTCGATATGACGTTTTACAATTTCAAAAATTGTCAGCCGTTCCGGAAATATTTTGAAAAAACTGAAAATCACTGACTTCGTTTTTATTCATTTTCCCACTTAATAAACTATTGAAATTTTGTATGAGCAGGTGATTGATCATGATGAAAAGTTGGGAGTGTGAGAAATATGTTTCAATATTTTCAGAGATTTGACATGCAACTTACGTTTTTCTTATGGGCGCTATATTTGTTTTTTATATACCATTGAATGAAAATAGCGCTAAAGAACAGTAAAAACATTTTCAAATGTGGTAGGCCATGAAAATAAGAAAACATATATTATCAGTCGTCATGACTACAATATCAATACTTCTTAATAACCAATAACCATGAATAACGCGCTTCATTATTACAAAAGGCACAGAACAAATTTTTCGTTAAATAATCAAGAGTCCTCTATCTATTATTGAAGGTTTTCATTCAGTGTATAAGACTTGGTCTTGACAGAAGTTTTATTCCAGTTATATTTCTATGATTGAATTTAAATTGGTAAATCTCTGAAAATAATAGATAAAATATTTCTGAAAATCCCAACTTCTTTGTCATCCATGATTAATTACCTGTTTATACACATAATTTCAATATTTTCTCTCTAATATTAATCAAGAGAATAAGCAGGAACGAAATCAGTGATTTTTAGTCTTTTCAAAATATTTCAGGAACGGCACACATTTTTCGAAAGTGCATAACGTGATATTGAATAGGTTCAAATTAAGCAACGTTTGTCCTATCTAATCAACTTTCTATCTCTTACTGTTTAGGAAATAATAGCAATACTGTCTCTATTAAATCGTTGATGGGACATTGTATATTTCCTTACCATCGGAAAGACCACTCAAAGAGCTTTCCAAAAACACTTCATTCAATATAATCATCTTCCATATTTTTCAATTCATGAGTATCCAAGACCAACAGAATTTGATCGATTTTCGAACGATTTTTGAATAAAAATAATGAGAATGATTGCAAATCTGATCAGTAAAAAAAAATTGTTATGTCTTGGCCTTTACTCTCAAACACCATTCAAAATCGATGAAATTCTGTTCGTTTCGAATCGTTTTAAAAGCCCATATTTGGAGGAATACATGCAGAAGATGAATATATTGAGTAGGTATTTTTTCAGATGGTGAGAATGTATCTGTTTGTTCGAGAAGGAAATAATATTATCATATATCAATGATCGAGGTTGTCTTTAATTTTTTATGCAATATTCCAATATTGGGCCAAATCCAAGTGGAGATTCGGAATAACAAAAAATTGTGCACTTCTACGCCTCTGTATAAACACTCAGACAATCATTTCATGTTGCGCCCTTTGATCCACAAAGCCCTCTAGGTTTTTTCAACCCAGTCCGCCCCTGCTCATGAGGCTTATACAGTTCACCCTGTATAATTTATGGTACGTTGTTCTGGGAGACCTTGCTTATTTTTTCCTGAATATATAAATGATAGTAACTAACTGGAGGATATCCTCCATACTATAACAATTTTCATAGTCATCTTAAATGTTGATTCCGATTCGCCCAATTCGGTATATCATTATGATCGCATCAAGTAAAAATATTGAATACTATCTGTAGGTTAATCGAGCAGGAGGTGGTACAGTCATTATTATTATTAACTGATCAAGTATCAATACGAATTTGCATTTTTTATGTTGAAAACGGGAGTAGATTCGTTCCCGAAACTTCCAAAGCTAAGTGAAAATTTGATATTTTTTCTATATACCTTCTCCAAACCTTTTCAATACAAACTGTCACTGACAAGCTAGTGAAATTTTCTTTCAGGCTCTCTGATATCTTGGGGCATATTATCTGATGTGTCCTTACTACACGTATATTGAAATAATATTCATATTTTTATGTTATAGTAACGAGGAGAGAAAATCCCTACAAATATGGAATAATAAAAATATTGAAATTTGCCTGAATAACAATCACCCTAAATGAGGTATTGCGGTGAATTTTGTTCAAGGATATCTCAGCCAGGGATAAGTTAACATCATCTCTGTCTCAGCTATGCATGAATCGGATAGGCTCCAATAGTCGTTTTTGGAATTTTGACAAACAACATAGTACTGCCTTGAGAATCTGAATATTTCAGATTTGTCCACATTTTCCAAGAGAGCACGGTGAAAAAAACATAATAGAGAATCCAACTATAGGATATTTTCGTTATTGGAAGAGTAACAAATGCAGCATATGAACATACGTCATTTTCATGTGAATTACAATTTTAAGATAAATATCCTTGATGTTATATGCAGTGAACGAATCACGAATATTGAACCACAACCACAGAATAATCGTATCGAGATTCCTCAGGATTTCTAGGTATCGTTCATTATTATATAGTTAATTTTTGCATATGATGAATCTGACAGTAGTGTTCAAGTTCATGATTGCCAAAACGTTGTTTGGATCTGGAGGAATTCAATAGTTGTGGTTGATGTTTTTCGAGACATGAAAATCTTTTTAGCAAGTTGAAAATTGAAAAAAATAATGAGATTGGCTAGTAAATAACGTACTCACCTTGAACTGTAATTTTTGTATCAGGAGTATAGACAAAATTGTTCCTTCTCACAATTACATTATTCAACACTTTTATCTCATCATTCAGAGTTTTCATGGCAATTCGACCAACTTTCGTCAACGCCATGATTTTATTTTTTGTATATATTTCAACACTTTTTGTACTGCACTAATTGCACTATAATATAATCACTACATTCACTCAACTTACTGTATTGGACAATGCATGTCATTTTCGAAATATACCTAACCTAATACCGGGAACGTTATCATAATGATATATAGCATCATGGCACCCAAACGATAAATAGAAACATTCATTATATTAGCATTATAATGCGTAATTTGCATTTTTAATCAATCAAGCAGGTAAAATTTCCCCAATGTATGTATGATCCCTCGTTTCAAACAGAAAATGTCAACAGAAATTCTATAGACATCTACAAACATCTAAAACAAATTAAAACTATAATGAATTATGTATTCTTGCTAAGGCTGTGGTAATACAACATATCATTAATATCATCAACGTTATCAGTATGTGTTTCCCAATACGAGGTCAAAATCATGAACTTCAATGGTTTATTGGATTATGGTTGGCACATAATTTTCCCTATGAAAATGACCATTCAAAACCCCAAAAAAGCAATGTTTGATTGTTTGTCGAAGTGATTCGTGATAATCTTCCACATAGCTTGGTGCAAATATTTATTTCTTAAGTCATTTCTCTAGATTTCTTGTCATTTTCTCTACTCGTTCCTAAAAATGAAATTATAAGTATATACAGGGTGTCCCAAAATTAGCCTGCCAAATTTCACCAGCGGCTTCTACGATCAAAGATAGGAAGGAAAGTTTCAATGAACATGAGACGAGAAATGTTTTCTAAAGAAACTACGGCACCCTGAAAGGGGGGATATTTCTTGAGTATTTTCGAAACCTCGTGTTATAAAAAGATGCAATTTGCTACAAGAACTATACTTTCCGTGCCCAATGCGGTGCAAATGAAATCATTTCAAAATTTCACTCAGGAGTGGATAATACAGGGTGGGATTACATTAAATATTGCTAAAAATTTTTTTTATCAATATTTTTCGACAATTTAATCTCGGATTATGAAAATTCATATCATTTCACAAAAAAAAGGTGCTCATGTTCCGCATTGATCAGATGTATCATTCTCGAGTAATATCGATTTGAAAATATTGATACACTCACATCTTATGGATAACGTTGCCAATTTCCAAATCATAATGGCTATAAAAAAATCAACTACTTTCTTTTCACCAAATAATATCATAAAAGCGTGAAAAATAGGAAAATGATGTTAAAAAACTACTTCAATTCTTGTGCATTTTTTTTTTCATTTTCACTACGACTCATTGCAATTTTATGCATAATATCTGAGATGTACCAATATTTTTGAATCGCTTCTACTCGATAATGATACATCTGATCGATGCGGAACAAGAGCACCTTTTTTTGTGAAATGATATGTATTTTCATAATCCGAGATTAAATTGTCGAAAAATATGCATAAAAAAATTTTGAGCAATATTTAATGTGGTCCGCCCTGTATTATACACTCCTAAGTGAAATTTTGGATTGATTTCATTTTCACTGCATTGGGCATGGAAAGTTTGTGTATCATTATTGAAATATTTGAAGTAAGGATAAATCATCTGATTTGAACGAGAGAAAATCTCAAAAAAACTAGAGAAATTAATATGCCACCTCCTCGATTAACCTATACAGGGTGTCCCGAAATTACATTGACAGACTTCAACCACTGATTCTTGGAACTAAAATAGTGAAGAGAGATCATATATAAACATGAGCCCAGAAATGGCCCCCTAGGGAGTTATAGCCATCTGAAAGAGGTCCCGATGATGTTTTTTTTTTTGTAAATATTTCCAAAGCCCACTGTGTTGAAATAACGAAATGTTGTACATGAATATTACTTTTTTCGGCAACCGTCCGGGAAGTGCTCACTTCCCGGACGATTTTTCTTTGGGGAAGTAGCATTTTTCCGGACTAGGCCGGGAAGTATCACATCGTTGTTGTCACTGTAACTATGAAAATGTTGGTAGATATGGTTTTGATAAATGCAGATGATAATTACCATAGCAGCGAAATATCGGCTGACAGCTATTTGACATGGAATTAGTTGACATTTTGATTTTTGAAAGTTTGGTTGCAATTATAGCAATAAACAATCGAAATCAGCTGCGATAGTGAGTTTGAAAATGTACATACGAAATTTCCAATGGAGCAGTTAGTAGGTATAGGTATTCTGTTCAAATTTCAGTATTTGAGACATATGAGAATTAACAAAGAAGAAATTGTATTCTACAAAGAAATATAATATGGAAATCTGTCTCATTGATTTGTTATTCTACATGATTGCCGAAAAAATTGTGTACGGAACAAGTGCGAAAACGGTTTTTTTGGACTCGCAGACTTCCAGGACTCGCCTACGGCTCGACCTAGAATTTTGTCTACTCGTCCCAAAAAACAGCATTATCCGAACTTGTTACGTAAATTACTATTCATGCCCGATTTGGAAATGTTGAGTATTAGAGAATTAAAAGAAACCTGTGAGACTGCTCTAGTCCAACTGACTTCCTGGTTCAATCAAATCACCCTCTATTTCAATTCAGACAAAACTAACCTCATAAAATTTCATAGTCATCAGAGGGAATTGGTAGATGTAGATATAAATTTAAATAACACACCCTTACCTATAAATAACAGCTGTAAATTCTTAGGAGTAATCATTATTGACTCACATTTAGATTGGAAAGAACATTGCAAGATCCTGATTTCCAAACTTTCATCACTCCACTATATGTTCAGAAATCTCAGAGTTGTTTTAACACAGCAACAACTGATAAATTTATACTACGCACAGGTGGAAAGTCGACTGAGGTATGGTATTTGCCTATGGGGAGACTCTACACTGTCGAATAATGTTTTCGTCTCTCAAAAAAAAAATCATAAGGTGTATATTACTGGTGTGAAAAAAGACTATTCTTGTAGAGAAATCTTCAAAAGATTTGAAATTCTCACTTGTGTAGGCCTCTACGTATTTGAAGTCTGTATTTTTGTGTTCAAAAATAGGGATTTGTTTTTCATTAATAATGATTTCCACGAATACAACACTCGTCGTAAGGATGATTTACGAATACCACTCTCTTAACGCGATATTTCATATAAAGCTCCAGCTAGAATCGGCGCAAAGATTTTCAATAGCTTACCCTTCTCTATCAAAAGCTTAAAACATGAACGCACCTTCAAGAAAAATCTCAAGGAATATCTGGATGAGAAATGTTTATATAGTTTAAATGAATACTTTTAACTCCATATTTTAATTATTAAATGTAAATTGTATTTTTCATGTACTCTTAGTATCATAAAGCTGTCAATATTTTGTCCATTTTTTTATATTATGTACTTAGATTGTGTAAACATGTTACGTAGTTTTATTCAACGTGCTGTTATTTTTTTATTGTTGATTCATTTTATGAATACCTACCGTACTACCATGCGGTTCCATCCTGACTCTTTCTTATACAATTGTATGTTGTCTAAAAGAAATAAAGTGATTTGATTTGATTTTCCGGATTTTTGATCAGGAGCGTGGAAAATAGGTGGGGCTACGGGCATTTCTTTCCACATTTTTCTTTCTATGCAATTCTCGGCAGTTTGACTGGGAATTTTGAAAATATCATCATTTTTACTTAAAAATTATACTTTTTCCTCATAATAGGGTACCAAATTTCCCCAAAAATTATTTTTCGATAGAAAATACCCTTTTTTCATTATCTACTTGTAATGTTTGACTCAAAATATGAGAGGAACAATAAAAAAAATGATTTAAAAAATATTATAGTAGGTACCCTATTAAGAAAAAGTACTATTTTTATTATTATTCATCTCGAAAATGGTGAGTGCTATCGAAACTAAACAAGAGTATCATTTTCAGGTAAAAATTATGAAATTTTCGTATTTCCTGGTCAACCTGCCGAAAATTGCATAGAAGAAAAGTTGGGAGAAGATATGCCCATATATAACCCCACCATTTCGGAAAATTCTCAACATTACCAAATCCAATTTTCCAATCGGCAAAGTAATATACATGTACAGGGTGATTCACCATGAATGTCCCCTCCTCTAGCTCAGTTATTTTTAAACCGATTGCAAAATTTTGAATATCATCTAAAATAATTGTCGATAGAGTTTTTTTCCTCTACATCAGAAAATGCAAGGTTCTCGGAACAAACGATCTACAGGGTACTATTTGGTTTTTTGAAATGGAACACCCTATTGTATTTTTAGATTCTCCCTGATGAGCTGATTTCTTCTATGCATCACACTTGGGGTCTAGCGAAAATGATTACAGAGATATAGGGTGTTCAAAATCTAGATTTTTCAACTTTAGGATTTGTTTGTATCGAAAATATTCATTATCGGTCAAAACGGCTTTCATGTCCGTATCTCAACTTTTGATACACTACCTACTGACATTTAATAATTGGAACAGATACAGGGTGATCAGAATTCTGAATCTTGAACCACACTGTATATGTTCCAATTGTATGTCAGTAGATAGTAAATCGAAAGTTGAGATAGGGACCTTGAAGCCCTTTTGACCAATAATGAATAGTTTCGACCATGGACGTATACCATGGTTTCGACACAAAAAAAATCCTGAAGTTGAAAAATCTCGATTTTGTACCGCTAGACCCCAAGTGTGATATAATGATGAAATCAGCTCTTCAGGGAGAATCTAAAAATACAATGAAAAACAGGGTGTTCCATTTGAAAAAATCAAGTAGTACTCTGTAGATCGTTTGTTCCGAGCATCCTGTATTTTCTGAAGAAACGGAAAAAAAATGTCTGAAAAATCATTTCAGATGATTCCTCAAATTTTCAAATCGGTTGAAAAATAAGTGAGCTAGAGGGGGAGAGGGCATTTATGGTGAATCACCCTGTACAAGATTTAGTAATTTCGGGAATATTTGAAAAAAAACATCATCTCGGGCCCTCTTTTTCAGATGGCTATAATTCCCCAGGGGGCCAGTTCTGGGTTCATGTTTGTATGAACTTTTTTTACTATTTCTGTGCCTAGAATCTTTGGTTGAAATCTCTCTATGTTATTTCGGGACAACCTGTATACCTACGGACAAAATTTCTAAACTATTCACTTGATCGTGAAAGGGGGAAACCACTGATTTTTCACAACGACATCATCTTGAGCTCTATAACGACCACTACCAATAATATACCTTTGAATTTTCTCCTTCATACTAGGGCGATTGAAAAAGCGAATTGGAATATGTTCATTTCGAAACACACACTTTCTGCGCCATTGAAAATGGTGTCAATTCATTGGTGTGACTGTTGTGACGTATGACCAATTACATAGCTACACTGCAGAATGGCCAGGTATCAGAGAGAGATAGCTACAGTTCGGGACTAATACGTCACGGCTCCACCTTCATATCTGCTTTCTGAAATATCGAATGGAATATGCTGATTTCAAAACGCGAAAAATTCGATTCTCTTCAACTTTTACGAATAATGTTGATTGTACATCAAATGTGAACATGTTTCTTCGATTGAAAGAGGTTTTGACGGCTTTTATCTCTCAGCGGTCTTCCCCATTGAGTAAATTTCCGAAAGTGACAGCATATATTATAATTACGGTAATAATGTATTCAATTACACCATCAGGTGTTTTATTATTATTTTTCGACCTCATAAAAACTAATTCAACCTTTTGGATAAAAAAATGCAATTATTATACCGGGTGACAACGAACTCATTGGTCAGGGCGTAATTCAGTGGCTTTTCATCTTATATCGACATATCGACATTTTCATCGAAGATATAGTTCCTTAAAATCCATATTTTCTATGAAAAAATAGAAAATCCCTTTTCAATGACATATCACAAGCGGCGCAGAAGACGTTTTCTCCAAAAACAATATGGCCACACTGAGACATCATTGATCGAATTTTTGCCAACCTAGCTAATGAAATAGCAAAAAAACATAGCACTTTTGATTAGTTTTTGATGAAACATGCGAAAATTTCGATTCAACACCAATCAATCCTTTTAGTTATACAGGGTGTATCTTAAATGATGACTTTAATTTCAGGTGCTGATTCCTTGTCATATTTCATGACAGAAAGTTCATATAAACGTGTGTCCTAAATTGCTCCGTTTCCGAGTAACGGGGTGTCCAAAGTTTAATGAAATATCGGTTTTTCATGAATTACTCAAAATACTGTTCGCCGATTTTGATCAAACTTCGTGTGTTTGTGATTTGTTTGTTTCATGAAAGTAGATTTTGAATTTTGTTTCCAGTGGAATAAAATAGAAATAAACTAGCAGTTTGAATATCAATCAGGTTACCCTCTGCCACACCACTTAACTTTGGACACCCCGTTACTGGGAAACGGAGCAAGTTAGGACACACGTTTATATGAACTTTTTGTCATGGAATATGATAAGAAATCACCACCTAAAATTAAAGTCATCATTTAAGATACACCCTGTATAGGAACCAAAAATATTTGATCAAGCTAGTGTATTCGAAATTATATTGATTCAAGAAAAGATTTCATCAATAAAGTTCATTATTCATTTCATCGTATAACATTCGATTAAAGGAAACGCGTTTAATGTTTCAATCACATTGGCAGCTCAGTCAACCGGAATGAAATACTCGCATATGGAGTAAAACGCTGAATATGTCAAAATATTCTAAATAAATATCTATTAGCCGATAAGTCAGAGGACAGTTTGGATCTGACCAGCCAGCACTCGCTATGGTTCATCCCCTGCGTCTTCTAGAGATAATTTTGTAAGTACTAACGTATCTATCTTAATGGTACCAAGTTATGAAATGATTCTCTGCATTGCGAAGTCTGATGTACATACGTTTGTTTTGATTCTCGATATCCAAATGCATGTGTATAAAACAATCTATATGTATTGTATCAAAAAATTTGAAAAAATGCTGCTTGATTCATTTTAGAATCGAAAGTCAACTCACAAAATAGCAGCAAAATAGCGAAATAATATGAGATATTTGTTTTCTTTCAAGCTGTGTGAATTTCAAAATATCTGAACCAATGAGCACTCAAAAAATAGAGGGGTAGCCTGGTAAGCTGTATCGGCGTAGTAACCACTCTTCAAAGAGTTGTTTTTGAATGGCATGTTTCAGTATACTGAGCGGAGGTCCATAGTAGTATATTTATTTCATGCAAGACAAGTAGAGCTATCTGATGGGCAATTTAAACATGTTAGTCCGATTTGTTGAGATATATGCGAGGGTATTTAAAAAATTCGGGTCCCATTTCGAACCGATCATATGATTGATAATATGAAATTATAGAAAATTAAAGATGATGTTTCCCTGATGGTACTGATTTTTTCTTATAATTAATTTAAAAGTTGATAGATTCTCCATTGCATCACATCAAGGGTATTCATGAATGAAATTCCTTCAAAATGATGCACATATCAGGAGTATGAAATTCCAATTGAAAATTCTGAATTAGTGCCATTAGGGTGAAGTTGATCGAGTTGATAACAAAATAATGACGTTTTTTTGGAAGATTTACCCCTGAATATTGAAATAAGAGTGGCAATTCTTATCTGTATCAATTCAGAGACATTTTTGAATACCACAAATAAATATTTTATTCTTAATTAAAAATATAGAAATATACAAATATATTTACTAAGAATATCCCATCTCACACATCTGAACTGCTTCCTTCCGATTCTTCTAGAATAGGATTGATACCGCCTGTTCTTTGATTTCTCAACTCTGCAATCTGGAATGAATAGCAAAAACCGATCAGAAATAGAAGAGTGAAGCAGAAATAGTAGATTGTTTTATTAGGATCAAAAGTGACACAAAATTTGCGATTCAAACAAAGTCACTTTTGATCCGAATGAAACATTCTATTTTTGGTTCAAGTTTCGTTTAGCTGAAATCAGTTATAGAGAATTTGTTGCTATGGTGACAGTTGTCATGGTTACAAGTAAACAGAAAACAAAATCCCGTTGTGAGGAAATGCGTGGTTGCCAAGTTATATCGTGTTTAGTTCAGCTGAAATCAGCTATGAAAAAAGTGTTGATATGGCAATGATCGTCATAGTAACGAGTTAACAAAAACCAGCTTCCTGTGGTTGCCAAGTTTTCTATTTTTCATTTCATTTAAAAACTTTACAACATTTGAGGAATCAGAAAGACAGATATGGATTTTCTTCCTGAGTCAAGGTTTGGTGCCAGCAAGACCTCATTGCAAGTCTGAATCCAAGGAACACAAGAATCTGGTTGAGCCATTTCCCCATTCTTATTTTAGCGAAACAAATTTGGAGGATTGAAAATAGCAACTTGTCTCCTCAGGAAGAAGATATTCATGGGTTATTTGATTCTGCTTACTTGACCTAATCTGACCTGAAATCACTATTCTTTAAAACAACACCATCTAACTCAGCCAACACAAACATTTTACTCTCGGAAATAATTGTGTCAAAACTTTTCTCAATAGTAAATGCTTTCACATCTAATCTTACTCGACCTAAATGAATCTTCTTTCTAAGAAGACAGTAGGTACTTTTTTTCAGAGAGGAAAGAAAATATTCCTCCTGCATTAACACTACTTTTTTAACCATCTAACCTTACTCGACCAAAATGAACCTGCTTCCTAAGAAGACAGTAGGTACTTTTTTCAGGGAGGAAGAAAAATGTCCTTGCATAAAAAGGGACGCTACTTTTTCTAAACAATCTAACCTAACTACGCCTTAAATGAACCTTCTTCTTAAAAAAAATATATTTTCCAACATGGATAAGATTTGGTAGCAAGGCATCGTTCGTTTGTGTTTGAAGACTGTGGTTGAATCAAAATGTGCGCGTGAAGAATGGTATGGATGAATTGAAATGTAGGCAAATGGAAATGTGGGTAGATCGAAATTTGGGCCGAACGAGATGTTTCCATCTGTATTAGACAACCAGTACCTGTAGTCTCTTTTCCTATATCCTGCGCGATACCTCGTTTTTTATTGGTTTATTGAAGTTTCAATATAAATACAACCACAAAGTGACCCATTTGTGTATGGACCAGGTGTCAGCCCTAATAGCAAATACCGCGCCAGTGCCAGGTATAGGAAAAAGACGTGGAAAATGTTAGGTTAGTGAGCATATCAACAATAATAATAGCGATTATTTATTTCTCTCCATACTCCACTGTGTTTGGTTCGGTAATCAAATGAAGGTAAACAAACATCGTTGTGTGAGACAAAAAAGTATTGCTGGCCGTGATTATTCGAAAACAAGTTATCCATCTCGAGAATAATGAATGAAATACAAATCAACAAGTATGTGAATCTTGAAGGCTTTCCTGATCAAAACAAAAATTCGTCTATAATATGGTGTTTTTATATCTTCAGCATGGGTATAAAATGCCAAATCTGCCGAAATCGGAAAAAAAATCAGGTATGCGTCCCAAACCAAATAACCAACGGTAACAATGTTGTTTATTCTAGATGACCTCTAGTACATCATTTTTAGTCTAGGAGCTAGAGTTCAGCTTCAGCTCCTAGAAACTAAAAGTGTTGTCTAACAACATACATATAATTGTGTCAGCAATAATAACGTCAATTCAAGAGCTGGTTTTGGGATTGAAATTGACTTTTGTGTCGGTTACAGAAAAACGATTTCTTCTTACCTCCTGCAAGAGTAATCTTTCCTTGGCAGCTGCTCTGTGCAACAAAATCTTGACTTTATCCAGTAAAGTAGACTTATGCTCCAACTGTGAATTGGCTTTCGATAACTCTTCAGATAAAGCGGCAAGTCTCTCGCCATCAGAATTCCTGAACATCGAAGTATTCTTCAATTTATTTTTGGCTTCCAAAAGTTCTTTTTCAAGTTGGTCTAGTTTCTGAGCACACTCAGTATATTCCTCTTTAAGTCGATTATTTTCTCTCTTCAATTTATCAGCTGAAGCCTTGAGGAAAAAACAAGTTTGCAAGTTACATTTTATTCAATGATGTACAGGTTTTCCCATTTTCAATGTCCTTATGGGATATCTAACTTATTTTCAGAGATAGAGATTTGCGGATTTCGCGACTGTCGGCTGCTTTTTTGTGAAGTCCACTTCGTTTTTGAGATACAGGGCAAAATCGAAAATGTTGCATTTTGGGACCCCCCTGAATATGAAATGTATACAGGATGTTCTATTAAAAAAAAAACATAACTTTGGGTTATATCTAAATAATAACAGTTATATTGAAAATCTGACAATGCAACTGGAATCCACATGAAAAACTGTATAAGTGGCTTTACTTTTTCTATAAGTTGAAAGATAGCTGAGATACAGGGGGGGTCCCAAAACACATCTTCAATTTTGCCCTGTATCTCAATAAGGTATATCATCCAATGAATACTCACTGCTCGATCCGATATTGGTCGTTTGCCATTGCATAATCGTTTGTTCTCAGCTTGAAGTTTTTCCACGACCCTCTTCAAAATAAAGACGGTCCTTTCGAGCTCGGAAACTCTTTTTGATTCTACGTCCTGTGGCTGTGGGGTTTTGCAAACTTCTTTGCTCTTTTCCACTTTCAATACGTCAGTGTAGCTGAAAAAATGTGATGTGATGAGATTTTATTTATTTTTTATTTTTTCATTTTCAAAATAACATACATATCAGCGTACTAAACTGCTCCACATTTGAAGTGAGACAAGCGAATATTTTGTTTGTTTTCTTTGGATGGGATCAACCGATTTTAGATTTTTTTTTGGGATTCGGATTGAACGTAACTCGAATATTTTGGAAAGCGCACGGCAGAGACTGATGATTCAAATTTGCGAAGACCTGGACCAACATGACATTAGGTCTCTTTTGGGTAGAGGCCGTGTTTGCCTAGAAGTGTTTTGTGCCCGCGGCAAAAAAGAAATGTTGAAAAGGATGAGATTGAAGTGTAATTTCAATTCTACCTTGATAGTGTAACTATCACACTCTACAGGGTATTACAAATTTCATGAAGAAAACACGCTGTAATTGCTACACCCGGTATGTATAAAAAAGGTTTCTATGCGTATACAATTTGCACACCAATGTTCATAAGAAAATAACCTGTCATTTATAACAAAAAACGTCCAAATCGGATAAGTAGTTTTGAAGGACGTTTGTCATGGAATAACTTGAAATGAAGGTGTATCCGATTAGATATTGAAACAGCTCCCTCTTACAAAATTCTAGAAAACATCATAAACCTTCACCAACTTGATTGTTGTATTTCAATGTATCCGATATAACGGAACATGATGATCTAATCATCTTATCGCCATCTAGTGGCTATCGAATGGGGCTTCGATCCTATGCCATCAGATGGCAATAACATGACTAGTTCATCAAGGTTGGTAGAACTAATTATAATTTGTATAGGAAGGTTGCCTCGATCGATAGTGCGGCAAGGGGGGAAACGGTCACTCGTGACGTCACAGGCAGTAAGATGACAAGTTGTCAACCTTGAAGCGAAATGTCATGAAATGTTGTCTACCAAATAGAGTATACAAACTTTTTGGTCAGCTCAGCAAATTTATATCAATTCATAGTATATAATTATAGGTACCATTATAAAATATGGATATTTAAATATACTTCTGTATAATACCTTCAATCTTCGAAATGAGGAGGCAATTTTGGATGGATCAGTGGTACAGAGAGGAATACCTATCTGAAATTTTGTTCCAGGGGCTATTTACCAGGTCGTGGTACCAGGTATGTGTGTTTTGAGGTATGGAGCATAATTATGGAGCTAGTGATTACTTATGCATTGATTATGAACCTACGCATCCTATAAATATCCTGCAAATCAGATAAAGTGAACAAGAAACTACAGAAAATATAAGAATAATCAACTGATGATCCAGAAGTAGTAGCAGTGGACCAATATTCGTACACATCAGAACTTATTTTATCAATATAAGTATCTGTATTCTGAAAAATTAAAAAACTCCCCTAGATACCTATAGAAAATACAAGAGAAAATAGTATTTCATTGTTTGATTATATTGTAGAGTCAAAAACAGAGCAATTGAAGTGTTTGAGCATAAAAAAATAACAAAATATGATTCTGTTCAAAATAACAGAATTAATAAAATATATACAATTATAAGTGATCCTATAGTAAAGGATAGTTCAAGGAATCTCTCGAATAAACATAGCTCCTCTTCGTTGGTTAACGTATCTCAACTTGAAAACACGTGTGATAACTTCTGATGTCCATTTTACCCGTTCAACAAGAATCTCAACATTCACAACTGGTCTGGTTCTCATCATTTTTCCAAACTTCCATATTTATGGCGTTTCTCTTGTTGTATTTGGTATTATTGATGGAATTCCTACCCTTAGTTTCCTTCTCTTTGGTGTGTGATTGAGCAATTCTGCTTGTGCCCTTTCAAAATCCTCGGCATTGAAATGGGCAGAACATATTCGCCAAGTTTTGGTATCAAATGGATTAAAATCACGTCTACAAAATTGAATCTATTTCTCACGAATAGACTCATCTTGTGGAAATTAATGGAAACACAAACTAAATTCACTAGTCTTATTACACTTGTACGACTTTAAACAAGAAGTGACTGAACAAATTATCATTTTTACATTTTTAAGTTCAAAATGGTTCAAATATTTGAAAATACTGACAACTGTCACTTCAATACATGCGCCGGCGTACATATCATACACGAAGTGTACGAAAGTACTACACTTTTCGTGCAAAAGAAAGGGCCTATTACGTCATGAGTTACTCGCGGGGTGCGGTCGAGGCAACCTTCCTCTACAAAATAAGCATCAGTTCTACCAACCTTGCTAGTTCATCATGTTTCTTTCGAAATATTCGGAAAAAAATACTCACTTCTCTAAGTGGCGAATTTGCTGTTGCAGTTGTGGAACTTCTTTCGCTTTTTGTTCCAAATCAATTTTCAAATCCAAATTCTCAGCCTCCAGTCTCAAGTTCGTTTTTTGAATGTTAGAAATTGCCGTCTGGAGACGTTCCAATTCTGCTCGGATTTCCACTGTACCCTGTGAAGAAGATATATGTTCGATAAATAGTTCATTGATGGTGTTGTAAAGTATGTGAAACATTTTCAGCAGGCGTAATTTGTTGTGATATTTCAAGAAAAAGTTTTTCATAACAATCGCACCTGTAGATTTATGTGAATGTGATTACATTTCAATGGGATCCAGTCCAAGGGATTGTACTTGTTCACTGGACAAGTCGGTTGGATTTTCCACAAGAAATATAACTCGACACATTTTTCGCAGTTTTAATAATCTACCTAACTAGGTTGTCATCTAGAACGACAGTATATGTATTGGATGAAGCGACTACAAAAATGTTTTTTTGGCTCTTGAATTACAAACGTTCCAAAGATTTGATTCACTATAAGTTTTCAATAATCATAATAAAAGAGCTTTGAGGAGGATCTAGTTTGGTTTAGTACTTTGAAATGACGAAATACAATTTCTTATTATAACAGGCCTGTTATAACAATGATTATATTCTTCGTATGATTCTAAACCAATCAGAACGTTCAATTGAGTTAAGCTACCTTGAATAATTTCGAATATCCGTGGATATACCTAGAGTAACTCCGCCAATCAGAAATTTAGAATTATTTCCATAGTAATCAATTCATATTGTAACATACAAAAAAAGCGCGAACTACTCAAAAAATAATCGCATCGAATACAATTCGAACTTCAAACTATTCATGGTTATACATCTCAAACTTCCTGCATAATTACAAATCGTGTCAGTTCAACAGAATAATTCTTTCGCTTCGCGGTCGAGGATTATTTGTAACAAGTTATCGATGTATAACTCCAATATTCTGAAGTACTTATAGTATTACTACCAAGGGCGTCGCCAGAGGGGCAGGGTGGGGTTTCTGCCCCCCCCCCTATCCTCGAGGTTAACGCTCACCAGTCACCCTGCTAATTGAAAGGACTATTTCATTCATCACATAATCTGACCAATTACCAGCCGGAGATAACGTGAGCTTATCGCGAAAACATTAGCTGTCGTTCAATTCTGATCTGATTGGTCTTTCAGCGTTGATGTTTTCAACGATGTGTTTGCTATGATATAGTTGACACCATAGCAAACAGGGAAATTGAATACAGAGACCTCTTACCAAACATGAAAGCAACACTATGGACCCTCTGGGAAGAGGAATGGACAGAAATATGTTGCACAAAAGGAAGACACCTATATAAGATCCAGGATAAACTAAACAAGAAACCATGGTTTGACCAGAACATTCTCAGCAGGAAACAGATCACCAAGATCACACAAACCCATCTCCACAGAATCAAAGTAACAGACTCCCCTCTATGCCCCTGCGAACTAATACGTAACCTAAACCATGTATTATTAGAATGCCCTAACAACACCACTAACACAAACCTGCTATACAGAAAAATAGCATGCAGAAACCCCAACACGCCTACTGCTTTATCAATGTATGACCTATATCGAAGACTGGAACACGTGTTTCGCTATGTTAGCATCTTCAGGAGATATAGTGCACGAATTCATTCCAGAACTCCGTCACAGAGGAAAGTGAAGGTATTTGACCAGAGGCACCAAAGTGCAGCTTTACCTCCGCATTTTATTACAAGATGACAAAAAACTGGGTAAATAGTCCTTTGACGCTGAACCCAAAGGGGCCTTCGGTGAAGTCCCCACTGCTAAAGAAGAAGAACGATGTAACCATGGATAGCAAAGCGAAGTCTGTCAGTTTGGCATAAAATAATTATCGCTGTACTTGTCAGAATGAATTACTCATTTCTAATAAATGCTTTTTATGCTTCGTGAACGTGAAATAGTCTAACAAAATACCACTCTGTTCTGAATATCTTCTCATAAGTCTTTCATTATTAACTCAATTGTGTTCCCGTACAGCAATACCCCTCGTCCTGATGAACTCGTGGTGTTGTTCGGCAACACAATTTCGTGAACCATGAAGCGACGGAATTATCTCGAATATTCAGAGCATCGTGATATTACTTATGATAACGCTCACTTTGAGCCAAGAAATTCCGAAAACAGATTTTTTCCTGAAATTGAGAAGGGTTTGAGGATCCTTGTAGCTTTACCTTGTAAGCATTGTACAGTTGGAAGGTCATTTAGTAGTCTTCGGAGAACCAGAACCTGGTTGAGGAGCACCATGTCTGAAGCTCGACTCAATGGCCTCGCAATGATGAGTGTACACAGGCAACATATATTTTCGAAAACTTGAACGATTTCGTGAACAAAGTGACCAACGAATTCACAAAGAACCCTAAAAGATTAGTGTTCAATTGAATTTTTTTATAGATATTTTTCCGTTTTTAAATTTTTTTCATTTGATTTTCTTCTTTAGTTTTGTATGGTGCTCCCCCCCTAGCTTTCCGGCTGGCGCTCGATTACTACTGATAATTCTAGAAGTCGAAATAAAAATTAACATTATCCGCTAATCACCTGAATTATAGATGAAACATGTATAAAATAAATAATTGCTATATAATGATTATTATTACTTCACTGTGTATACGTTGTGGCAATTATGCTAATTGATAATTAATATGATAGGTAGGCAATAAAATCAAATAAATGGTTCGATTATTGAAAGGAAATTTTGATGCACTTCAACTTTCTGTAGTTCCTCAACAAACTCTACTTGTCGATAAACAAATTGTTAGTATATCCTCAAATTCACAATTTCTTCGAGTTTCATATGACCCACTCAAGATGTTGGATTACTTTTGATGCATTCGCCAAATCTGGGTCATCGTCGCTAACAAGATGAGTCTTAGTTTCGCTTCTCTGCATATAGAAAGAGTCAACGACTGGTTTTCAAAGTATAACTGTATTGTTCTCTTCATTCACGTTAATATGTAGATTTTTCAATCAGTTGAAATGAATTGAAACCCGAATCTAGTCGTATCCAAAAGGTGTTCAAAGAATTAATTTGGATAAATGTGAGCGTATCTTGAAAAGGTTAGTAGATTTATTTGTATTAGTTTTAGTAAGCAGTGATTGTAACGTGAAACTAGGTATCCGACTCTTAATCCTATTTTCGGTTCAACCGGGAAATGAATTCCGATTTTTGGGACAGGGCAATTTTGTAACCTCGAATAGAACATTCAGTATCTCAAAGCTCAATATTTTGTAATTTTCCATGAATTTTATATTTCAACCTACTCTCCGTGGAAAATGAAGTCATAAGTTGTTTATTGATCAATTCTGGAAATGTTCATCAAAAAGTATTCGATAACAATAATAAATTAGATCCAGTAAGTTTGCAGTACTGTGTGACCAAGATAAGGTTGCACAGCATGGGGATCTAGGAAATAGGAGATACGAATTCGGTTAAATGAGAAAAAAGTTGTGCATTCAGAGGGTCATACCAACGGCCTTCGAAAATTTTCAAAATTCTTTTTAGTGTTTCAGTTATACCGAAAAAATCAATTTGTGGAAAATTCTTTTTTTTTTACGTTATTATTAGAGATAAAAAACTGGAAATACTTTTCCAAAGCAATTTTTGATGAGATTCAACTTGGTGATATTGATTTCTCTACGCAATATTTCGTATTCGTAGAACCATCATCAACTATTGTTTTCAAATGCGGTCTTGATTACGTGTTCACAGATTTTGAAAGATTTTCAAAGTGGTTTGAATGTGTTTCGACCTAGTTTTAGCCATCATCAATGTTTTTCGGAACTCCAAAGAGAAAATGCCATCTGTTTTCCTTCTTTCTGATTGATGAACTTAGTTATTTAATACTGAAAACAAATGATATTGTTAACGCGTATTGGATTTTAAGACTACGAAGGTCAATATCCAATTGATTTTTTCGGCATATATTTTTTATACTTCAATTTTAATTTAAGAATATTATTCTTATCATCAATGCCGACCATTTTTGTATTATAAACGCATACTCTATACCTAAGTCTACACCCTAAAGACATAAGTACGCGGGAGTGGTTTGGTATTCGATCCAACCAAAATGTTCGGCGATCATATTAACTTGAGTATTGATTTGTGAATATTTATAGTCGAATTCACAAAATGCCGAACATAAACAAATGATGAAAAGGAATATTCTCAGATATAATTATGAACACAAAAAAATGGATATCTATATAAAGAAATACATTGAGTTATTCCAAATTTTTTGGGATTTTCTCTCCTCGTTTCTATAAAATAAAAATATGAATATTATTTCAATATACAGTAAGGACAAATCAGATGATTTGCCCCAAAATGTCACTGCGTTTGAAGAATTTTCCTATCAGAGAGCCTAAAAGAAAAATTCACTAGCTTGTCAGTGACAATTTGTATTGAAAAAATTTTTGGAGAAGGGAAATAAAGGTATATAGAAAAAATATCAAATTTTCACTTATCTTTGAAAATGGTAAATTCAAGATCAATTAATGAAAACATCCTGTAACTCATTTGATTGCCAACGTCACCAATTGTCATTGAAAACTGAAAAGCTTCAAGACATTATACGACTTCGCTATCGAAATAATCTCTTCTTATGTTGAAAACGGGAGCAGAACCGGTCCCGAAACGTCCAAAGATAAGTGAAAATTTGATATTTTTTCTATATACCTTTATTTCCCTTCTCCAAAAATTTTTTCAATACAAATTGTCACTGACAAGCTAGTGAATTTTTCTTTTAGGCTCTCTGATAGGAAAATTCTTCAAACGCAGTGACATTTTGGGGCAAATCATCTGATTTGTCCTTACTGTATATTGAAATAATATTCATATTTTTATTTTATAGAAACGAGGAGAGAAAATCCCAAAAAATTTGGAATAATGAATATACCACCTCCTCGATTAACCTACAGACAGTATTTAAATACATTGAGAATTCGGATTCTCCATGTGATGAAAATATTAATTCTTTCTCGGTTTATTCAACAGAAAACCACTACTTTCCTGGCTATATGCCACGACGAACATTGAATTATATCTATCTATAGTAGTTGTTTTCTGTTGAATATTCAGGATGATATTATGTGCATATCTCTATATGAATGAGAATGAAAATGCTCTACTTCAGAAGATTTTGTTTTCAAATTCTTATCGTGTGTGTTCGATAGATATAACTCAATGTTCGTCGTGGCATATAACCAGGAAAGGAATTGTTTTCTGTTGAATAAACCGAGAAAGAATTAATATTTTCATCACATGGAGAATGCGAATTCTCAATGTATTTCTTTATACAGTGTGTCCCACTTAGCATGCTCACCATGGGTATCTTTTAAACGGTGAGAGATACGAGGTCGGTTAAATGACACCAAATGTGGAGTTTGTCAAGGCCAACTATAATGTGAAAAAAAAATTTGATAAAATCTATTCGTTTTTGTTTTATACGCAAAAAACAGATTTTGGAAATTTCCATGTCTCCTCCGTAACTTCTTTATATATGAAAATATTCAAATAGGAATTTCACATTCTCATGGCAGTTTTTCAAAGTGATTTCGAAAAGAATATAAAATTTATACCAACTCTTCTAGAATTTGAGATATCAGCACCAACTTTAGTTTTTCAAATGTAGGTCATAGCTCACTATGACTTAGTTACAAATAACTTTTTTTTCTCTTACAGATGATATGTCACAGTAATAGTTTTGTGTTGATAACAACGGAGTTATCGTCATTTATACAAGAACAAAATATTATTTGGAAGCCGCCATCTTGAATTTATAAATTTAAACAAAAAAATCATGATCTCCGACCTCAAAAACCCCCACTTACCAATTTTGAATGGAATAGAAACAAATCTTGTCCGCCATCTTGGAGCAGCCATTTTTTTTTAATTTCAACAAAAATTGCCTAATGTATTGTCATCGAAATCATGAACACCTGTCAAATTTCAAGTTAATCGGAGTTATGGAATTTTTGTTGAAATTGAAAAAATGGCTGCTCCAAGATGGCGGACAAGATTTGGTCCGATTCCATTCAAAATTGGTGAGTGGTGGTTTCTGAGGTCGGAGATCATGATTTTTTTGTTAAAATTTATAAATTCAAGATGGCGGCTTCCAAATAATTTTTTGTTCTTGTATAAACGACGAGAACTCCGTTGTTATCAACACAAAACTATTACTGCGACATATCATCTGGAAGAGAAGAAAAAGTTATTTGTAACTAAGTCATAGTGAGCTATGACCTACATTTGAAAAACTAGAAGAGTTGGTATAAATTTCATATTTTTTTCGAAATCACTTTGAAAAACTGCCATAAGAATGTGAAATTCCTATTTGAATATTTTCATAAATAAAGAAGTTACGGAGGAGACATGAAAATGATCAAAATCTGTTTTTTGCGTACAAAACAAAAACGAATAGATTTTATCAAAATGTTTTTTCACATTATAGTTGGCCCTGACAAACTCCACATATGGTATCATTCAACCGACCTCGTATCTCTCACCGTTAAAAACATACCCATGGTGAGCATGGTAAGTGGGACACACTGTATACATAAATCAATTTTTTTGTGTTCATAATTATATCTGAGAATATTCCTTTTCAATACTTTCAACCAATCGAGGGGTTCAAACTTATTATTTTTATAGACCTCAATCGCAGATTGGTGATCAGGTTTTCTCAATTCAGAATTTCTTTCCACGTCCTGTATGATGAATATCAATTTATCATACATCCAAAAATAAACAAATGATGTTTCAATTGAAAAATTGTTGACAACAATATACGGCGGCGTCATATTCGTGTAGTCGAGGGGTTCTTATACTGCCCAGTGTGAACAAATTTAATGAGACACAAAAAACACAATCAGGGCTCCCGGTCTAAATAGTTTAGTCTTGATTTTCAGCTCTCAATCAGCATGCCGGAAGAAACCCAAACCCTCTCCCACATCCCCATATTCCCAATCCTGTTGGCCACCTTAGCCTGCTTCGTCTACGCCTACTTCAAGCGGGCCTACAGCTACTGGAAATCCATGGGCGTCCCGCAACTGAACCCCACTTTCCCCTTCGGCGACATGGCCTCGGTCATCTTCCGAAGACAGAACATGGGCGACAAGATCAAAGAGATCTACGACAGGATGAAGGGGCGGCCGTACGTGGGGCTGTATTTCTTCAGCAGGAAGGCGTTCCTGCCGCTCGATCCGGTCCTGATCAAGGACGTGCTCGGGAAGGATTTCCAGCATTTTTATGACAGAGGGATCTACTATGACGAGGAGAACGATCCACTAAGTGCGCATCTTTTTTCTATAGCCGGTAAGACTTATTATACAGTTTGTCCCGCTTCGTATATAGGCGTATAATGAACGACTCGAATTTTTTTTCTTCAAATTATTAGAATTTCAGAATTGAAATCAGCTTTATTGCTTCCATGAAAATATACAGAGTGGGCCTTTGAAAACGAAACAGAGGCTCTGTAGGTCGCCAAAACCGGATTATGAAACAACACTGAAACACGTCAACTATATTTTCGAGGCTAGGAGTACATCATTCTGAAATATTTTCAGCGCTGCGGCGTTGCCGCTGCTAACGAAAAGAAGCAACAACTTTGTTATTTCAAATGGAACACCTTGTATTTCATTGCATTTTTAGATTCTTCCCGAAGAGCTGATTTCATCAATGCATCACACTTGGGGTCTAGCTGTTATAGTTTCAGGGATATAAAGTGTTCAAAATCGAGATTTTTCGACTTTCGACATTTTTTTGTGTCGAAACTATTCATTATTGGTCGAAACGGCTCTCATGTCCCTATCTCAACTTGTGATTTACTATCTACTGACATTTAATTGGAACAGATACAGGGTGATCAGAATTCTGAATCTTGAACCACCCTGTATTTGTTTCAAATAAATGTCAGTAGATAGTAAATTACAAGTTGAGATCGGTACATGAGAGCCGTTTTGACCAATAATGAATAGTTTCGACACAAAAAAATTTAAAGTTGAAAAATCTCGATTTTGAACACTTTATATCCCTGAAACCATTACAGCTAGACCCTAAGTGTGATGCATTGATGAAATCAGCTCTTCGGGGAGAATCTAAAAATGCAATAAAATACAAGGTGTTCCATTTGAAATAACAAAGTTGTTGCTTCTTTCCTTTAGAAGCGGCAACGCCGCAGGGCTGAAAATATTTTAGAAAGATGTCCCCCTCGAAAATGTAGTTGACCTGTTTCAGTTTTTTTTGATAATCCGGTTTTGGCGACCTACAGAGCCTCTGTTTCGTTTTCAAAGGCCCACTCTGTATACATATAGCATGGGTTTAGGTTGCTGCAGAAGAAAAAAAAAGTATAAGTGTAACTTAATATGAGAGTAGAGCTTTCTTTGTTAATAGGGGTTATAATGTTATCCTAAGAATTCTTTGTACAATGAGTAATAGAAAAAAATACATAAGCTAAAATAAATATAAAGAAGGTAATACCATGATGGAAATACAGAGAAACCCATACAACAGAAAAAAAAAAGGAGAAAAAAGAAAAACTTCAGAATATACTACTCAAGACGACCTATGGTGATTTTATATTATGAATGAAGTCAGCCTCACCTGTCGGTGCTACTGGAGCTTGAAGTCAATGTCAAATTTCCACAAATGTTGCTGATTAGCCTGGAAAGCTATGGCCTGTGGCTGTTAGAGTCACTGGATGCTATTAGTAGATACGAGTTCGGACACAGCTGAACTTCTGTCCTTTTCTATTTTCTATATCAAAATGGTTTGAGCTTGTCTTTTCAATTTTCCTTTGTGAGATACGATTTTAGAGGTTAGATTTCCTGTCAAATCAACCATAGCCGTAGATGAGAAATAGAAAGTAAATAGGGTATAAACACCCACTTCAATTTATAGCGATACGGCACTTTTCGCAGAACAACATTTATAAAAATGAAAAGAATGCATGCATTTTAATGACAAAATAGACACATATGGATATCCTTATAGCAAGTTCGATCGGTATTGGAAACGCCATTCAATGATATATCACGTTGCAATCTATTTGATTTCCTCAGTTTCGTTCTCAAATTTTCAATTTCATTACGTAGTTTTGCAATAAATTCCTCTTTCTCAATGATAGTTTTGTTTTGCATTTCGTGTGATGATGATAATGAATTCTCTTTTCAAGTAGTCTGTTTTGCAAATGGATGGAGCAGCAGATTCTCTCAATCGGATCTTAAAATGTTCTGTTCGAAAATGGGCCTAAAATATATAGTTTCATTTCAATCTGCTGTTATAAAAAGTGAATTTCAATGTATGTACCTCCCAAAATTTGTTTGTCTACAAATTAATTTTCCATCCAGGCCGTTTCATACATTCCTTGCATAAGAAAAAGGGGTTGAGATATCCTTTGGCAAATTAAATAAATGAAACCCATTCTCTTCAGAATTCCCACAATTCAGTACACAGCAGGACATATAAGATATAATTTTTCTCCAAATGTTCAATTCTGTGTAATTTTTTCATTGAAATCTCCATCATTTTGTGTTCACCCAATGTCAGTGTCAATTTTGATTACCAGTTCCATTCAAATTACTTGGAACGTTGCATAGCAACAAACTTTTTCTACCTATTCAGAGAAAGTACACCTTTGCTGCCTGTTGAGTGTCATAGAAAAGCCACTTTCTATTCTGTTTGGAGAAGGAGAAAAAGATATGTTCCTTTTCAGGTCCGAAATGGAAAAACCTTCGAGCCAAACTGACCCCCGCCTATTCTCCGGGAAAACTGAAATACATGCTCGACACTATCGTACAATGCGGCCACGAAATGACGGCCATCTTGAAGGAGATGGCCGCGGCGAGCGAGGGCGACGTGGAAATCAAAGAGATCCTCGCCAGATACACCACCGACGTCATCGGCTGCTGCGCCTTCGGCTTGGAGTGCAACTGCATGAGAGACCCGAACGCCGAATTCCGGTTGATGGGCAAGAGGGCTTTCACGCAGACCGTCGGAGACGTCCTGAAGATGGTAGGGCTCGAAACGCGTTGCATATCAGGCGATCATCATCATCATCATCATTCATCAATTCCCATAAGACAATTATACATTGTATTGGTAAAGTCATCATCATTAATCAATATATACAAAAGTTTGAAGAAAATCAAGAAGAACAGAGGAAGAAATATATTGAGACACCTACTGAGATTTAACACAGTGATTGAATAATTTAAAAATAAATAGTAACGATTGCAATTATGATAACATTAAACAAGTCGTCAAAACAAGCTTGAATAGCATATCATAGCTACAGCTACCATATCAATGAGCACAATACCGGGTGGCTACGGAAGTATTGCCTACGGAATATCTCAGTTATTGTATGAAGTAGGTTTGTGAAATTTGAAGCGTCGATATAATGACATAAGAGCTAGAATTTGAGCATATTGACATGTCAAAGTTAACTTCCGGTCTGACCGGAAGTAACATCAACTTTCTTATTTGAAATAGATACCCTATTTTTTTTCTTTTCGCTTCATTCAGCATTCAATTCCCTTTCTAATGACATATCACAAGTTGGTATCTAACCAGAAACTAGATCAGAAAAAAATTATTATTGAAATTCACCGAGTAGGCCGTGGAAGCGAAAGAGCTAAAAATTGAAAAGTCGGCTATGGAAACCATACGTCACTTGATAACAGTTGCTACTACTGTGATATTTTATTTTCATTCGTCGGCGTTATAGAAAGCCTTCAAAAGAAATATTGGAAAAATTGGGAAAAAAACAATACTCTGTAGGTCCATAACTTAAATGGGAACATGCAACTTTTTCTTGCCTGTACTATTCAGCATAACCATTCCTTTCTAATGATAATAGAAAGTCATTTTTTGGCTTTCATTTAGCTTCCACGGCCTACTCGGTGAATATCAATAATAATTTTTTTCTGATCTAGTTTCTGGTTAGATACCAACTTGTGATATGTCATTAGAAAGGGAATTGAGTGCTGAATAGAGCGAAAAGAAAAAAAAATAGGGTTTCTATTTCAAATAAGAAAGTTGATGTTACTTCCGGTCAGACCGGAAGTTAACTTTGACATGTCAATATGCTCAAATTTCAGCTCTTATGTCATTATATCGACGCTCCAAATTTCACAAACCTACTTCATACTATAACTGAGATATTCCGTAGGCAATACTTCCGTAGCCACCCGGTATATGGTACGGATATGCCGTCCTTCGAAGGGGACGTTAAGCCAGCGGTGCCGAGGCCATGGATGTTGGACTCGTTAAAGATCCCTACCACTGGTTGGAACACCAGAGGATTCGGCAAAATTTCCGGTTGGGGGTAGTGTGCTCACCGACGTCGGTGATTAGCCTTAGTAGCGGAAAAATGCCGACGTTAAAGAAATAAGGAAGAAGAAGAAGAAGCTCCAACTCCTGGTATTCGAAAAGAATTTATTTAAATTGTAGAAACATTTTTTCAAAAAAATTGTTTTCAATCCCTTTTGAGAACAGTTAATGTTGACCTTAGCGATGCATCTGATGATACTTTTTTGCGCGATGAAAACATCCGACACAGCAGTACCATTACCCCACAGACAAATACCATGCGACTGTTCGTATTTCCGTGATTTTGGATCTGCATGATTGATGAAAAATTATGGTACAGAATAATCGTTGACTTGAAATCATCTCTTTCACTTTTGATGACGAACCGATGATGACAGTTGTCAAAGGTTCGACAGGAGGCATTATATTGGGTGTTGCAGAGGTATCAATTGCGTAAATGGGTGATGCTTACAAGAAATCGACCTTTTCGATTGATTTCCGATTACGCGATGAAAAAACTTGTGATTGATTTCATGTCAGCTCAGGAATATCTTAAAACCATAGTAGCATCGTTATTGTATGAATTGGTCAGTAAAATCCAGAAGGGCCTCCTTGCGCCCCCTTGGATTGCCTTATCTGAAAAATCACGAAATCAATTCGAGCTATCGAGCAGAGCAATCGATCCAGATGAAGGATTTGTGTTTAGCATAGCATATGGTTATGGCAGCACCAAACTGAACAGACGATTTCACCAAATTCTGAACATTACTCCAAAAAAATGATTTTTTTCTCCTGTTGAAGTTGTCGATGGTTCCAACGCAATATGAATCCATTTTCTAGGATGTGTTCTATCGTTTAGAGTGGCAAAATACGTTGAATGTGGCTTGCATAATTTTAAAATCGGAAATGATACGAAAAAACCCTAAAAATGAAAAATTATCGATTTTGAACATCCTGTATGAGGAATATGGAAAATTACAAAACTGTTTCGAGATATTGGCTTGAACGTTCGGAAAAAATTATTGATATAAAAATTTAAAAAAATTCATGGAATACGGAAGCGTTTGAATTCTCTCATTTTTGTAATACTTTTTTCGAACACTTATTGGTGTATGATGACAGAAACAGAAAGATCGCATCTTTCAAGCACCGCATTCCATTTATTTTACAAAAAGATATGGCAGTTTGAAAATTGTCAAATATTTCAGTGGTCCACTTGTTTCTTTGAGCACTTTACTTTGGAGTTACAATAGACGCTAAGATCACTTGGAATGAGTACATTGCAAATCGCACTAAGAAGGCTATATGCTGCTTCTGGGCATGCAGGCGAGTCTTTGGAAAAACATGGGGTCTTACAACTAAGACCCTCCACTGGATATACACGGCGGTAATTCGCACAGCACTGACGTACGGGTCCATTGTATGGTGAACCAGTACCAATGAGGGCAAGACCAAAACAGAACTGGATAAAGTCAGAGACTGGCCTGCCTGGCAATAACAGGTGCTCTGAGAACGATGCCTACCAGGGCTTTTGAAGCTCTGTTAGGTCTGCCGCCTCTACACCCGTTCACACAACAAGAAAATGGTCGAAACATAAGCAGATCATGGACACTCCCTCACATGGAATAAGGCAGAGGGAAGCTGTCCCATCCCAATGATGAGAAGGGACAGTACCTTGCCGATTCTGAACTTCAACAAAGCCCTAAACATTGTCATCCCTACGAGAAAAGAATGAATGACACAACACCTGGCGTGCCTCCTCCCAATGAGTCAATCTGCTACACGGGGGGCTCAAAATTCGGGGGCAGCTCAGGTGCAGGGGTATACAATGAAGGAACAGAAAAAGTAACCTCCGTTCCTTTGGGCGAATATGCCTCAATGTTCCAGGCTGATGTACTTGCAATACTTACCTGTGTCCAAGAAAACCTGATTATGAGAGGTCGTAGACCAATCACTATATGCTCGGACAGCAAAGCTGCAATACTGGCTTTGCAATCCATTAGGATCACAACCGATTTGGTGTCCGAGTGCAGGAAGGCCTTGGAAAACCTGGCGAAATCAAGAAAAGTCAGCCTCATTTGGGTCCCGGAACACTCGGGGATACCCGAAAACGAGAAGGCAGACAGACTGGCCGAGATCGGTTCAGGACGAACTTCGGTCGGACTGGAACCAATCTTGGGAATACCAAACAGTCTGGTAATGTCCTACATAGAGGGACAGCTGCGAAAGCAATTTCTCAAAATATGACAGGACACACCAGGAATGAGACAATCGAAGCTCCACATGAAGGAACCTTCGAAGAGGATCACAATAATGGTCTTATCCCTCAACAGGCGAGACCTCAAAAAGGTAGTGGGGCTCCTAACGGGGCACAACCACCTCAATAGGCACCTAGAGCTTATTGGGATAAAAGATGATCCCCTTTGCAGATGGTGCCTGGAAGATGACGGAACGTCATCGCATGTTTTCACTGAGTGCACACATCAAAGGAGGGTTGTCCTTGGCAACATAATTTTGAGGCCAGAGGACGTTGTTGACTATTCAGGGGGTTGTATGGAAGAGCAACTCTGTCATTTATGTATTATTTGTTCATGGCCATTGCAATTAGCATTATTATTATTAGTATTAGTTGTCCGACGCGATATACTACATGGTCTAAGAGGAACACCAAGAGGAACAACGTTGTACGTTGAGGCATGTAAATTACAATTATTAATGAAGTTTCGTGAACAAATTTCGTAACTGCGGATAAATAAAAGAATACTGACAAGTGATATGACCTCTAACCTTACCACATCACGAGTCTCACCCTCAAAAATATGGCCAATACGAATCAATGATTTCATGTTATCCTTTACTTAAAAATGTTCACCCGAATATTGGTTTCAGGTCATCATCAGAAGTTTTCCATCGTTGGCAAAGTTACTTAAAATTGGTGTATTCTCTAGAGATGTGACGAATTTTTTCAACAGGGTCGTGAAAGAAACAATTGAACATCGAGAAAATAATAATATCAGCAGGCCCGACTTTCTGCAACTTCTTATTCAGTTGAGGAGAAACGGAAATATCGATGAAGAAGATACCAGTGAAGGAAGGAAGGTACGAATTCAATCTTCAATCATAATACAGGATCTCGTACAGGATCTTCAAGTATATTTTGAGAACACTTCGAGTACAAATTATAATAATAATTATTATTATTATCTTTATTATAATTCTTCATCAATCAGAAGATCATTGAAAAGGTACAGAGGCTAGGAAATGTGATTTTGAATATTAGAAGACGTAAATTAGGTAATCCTGGAAATACACAAAGTCAAAATCTATCTCTTTTTGTCTATCATGAACCGAACAACTAGAACAAAGAATGCATTTCAATCATTTTTCCTTATCAGTGTCAATAAATAGTAACCAGAGTTGTATTCTCACGCCTTGGTAATAAATAAGATAATGAAATGATTTGATACCTAGGTATTTATTGTATAACTCTTTAATATGATCTCAATAAGTGTGAAAGAGACATGATCTTGGAACTGGTCAACAAATCCTTTCTGTCACATTTATTAAATAATTGAACATATGAAATATTTTCTTTATATCAGTATTATTTGTTTCATGATTTTTTTTCGATACTGATACCTAGTGCCGGTTATGGTACCAATGTTTTATGTTTCTCGACTAATATCATGGAGCAAAAAAATGATTAATCACCCAGTACATAGTCCATAGGTCAATGAAGGAGGTGGAATGTTGCTATGAATTAAAGAACGATTATTATTTCAATATATTTTGAGTAATCAGTGACTATTATTATTATTTATCAAATGTCTCTCTAAAAATTCTAATAGCAAAATTTTCAACACAGTGACAAATATGTTGAAATAAATACTAAAAAACTGTAGATAATTGAGCATAATCGTTCTCGAACATTTATAGCAAGATCCTGGTACGGCCCTGACGATGGAAGAAGCTGCTGCGCAAGCCTTCATCTTCTTCCTAGCAGGTTTCGAGACCACATCTACCACCATCAGTTTCGCGTTATACGAAATGTCTTTGAATGCGGAAATCCAGGAGAAGGCTAGACGAGAAGTGGAAGAACTAATAAAATCACATGGCGCTTTGACCTACGAATGCCTCATGGAAATGAAGTACTTAGAAACAGTAATATTTGGTAAGTACCCAGTGAACCGACATATACAGTGGAGTGAATGGTCAAAGACAATGATCAAAATGAAGCAAAAAAGCATGAAAAACCCTGTGGAAAATGTGAGGCGATATTTTATCGCGAAGAAGGCAACAAATCATTTGTGAAATCCAACATAAAGCCTGCACTTCATAAGATAATCCTTCTATATACAGATTGTTTCAGATACAATCTCCAAACTCCAACATAGTGATCATCAAAACAAGAAAAAAGTAAAAAGTTGTACAAACATAGGGCCTATAAGGCTTCGTTGTCGGTTTACAGGATGTTGAAATTATTCAAGTGATTTAGTTTTTCTAGAGTATTATGAGCAGTCAAGTTAATGAAACCAAATTGAAAAACTATATTTATCGTACTCGTTTTTAATATTAATGGCGATTATCATTGTACGCCACTGGTTTTCTGAGTTTCATATTCTCATTAAATCGAAAATACATCTGTCATGTCCGCTGTATTACTTTTTTATCTCGCTTAGCAATGAAAATTGTATGCTAACTCTGAATTTTAATGTTATTGTTCTAAAAACACCCATTGCTATTATTCAATAACCTCAAAAGGTATCAATTTCAAATTTTGAGACTGTCAATCACCAACCAGACTGAATTTATGCACCATGAATACTTATGCAAGAGGGTCATAGAAAACAATCAATACTTCCAACGTATATATATAGTGTGACCCATTTTTAATGGAAACACCCCTGTATCTTACTTAATCGTTGGGTAAGGATCCTGAAATTTGCTGGAGCGAGAGATATACCAAAAATGCACTCTATGACCAAGTGGAGTCATCTTCAGTAATATACACTGCTCGCCAACAACCATGGAACTACCCCAATTTCTGGAAAATCATATTAGGAGTCAAAATAGGTTGAAAATCACTTCGGATTCGGAATCAGGACGCCCAATTCACTAACTATTCATATTTTTCCTGGAAAATTTTCGGTTCTGAAAAATTAAATTTCGTCGCACTTTTTACGAAAACACCTCCGTATATTACGTAATTATTGAGGTAGAGTTCTGAAATTTTCAGGAGGAGGGGAAACTCCAAAGATGAAGTCAATTACGTAAGATACGGGGGTGCTTACGTAAAAAGTGCGACAAAATTCAATTTTTCAGAACTGAAAATTTTCCAGGAAAAATATGAATAGTTAGTGAATTGGGCGTCCTGATTCCGAATCCGAAGTGATTTTCAACCTATTTTGACTCCTAATATGATTTTTCCAGAAATTGGGGTAGTTCCATGGTTGTTGGCGAGCAGTGTATATTACTGAAGATGACTCCACTTGGCCATATAGTGCATTTTTGGTATATCTCTCGCTCCAGCAAATTTCAGGATCCTTACCCAACGATTAAGTAAGATACAGGGGTGTTTCCATTGAAAATGGGTCACACTGTATATACTGTTGATGGCTTTTGTTGAGCTATAGTTGCGAAAAATGAGTCAATAATACCGTCTCCGAGAAAGAACTGCAAGTCCTTTCATCTTCCATTCGACTTCGCGATTACGTATTTAAACAACCACTAAATTCGCAATCTTTTTAAATCAAATCACAGAATTAGACTTACAGAAGTGACATCATATATTTGATTACTAAAAGAATGATAAATATGACTACAACGCAGGTGACCCTACTGTTAAAAACTTAAAATTTCACGTCGATAATTTTCAGATTTCAAAATAATGTAATATCTTCTCAATATTGATTCGCCCTCTCTTATGTCACAGAAAAAAATAGTGTATTATACACGGGAAAAATATTTGATTTTAGCTCACGGTTTTTTGTCCCCAACACAACCTGGAGCTAAAATCTACTATTTTTTTCCCTTGTATAATAAATAACTATTTTTATGCATCCAAAAACAATATCAGGTAGTATTATCTCACTATACAGGGTGGCTGGAAATCAAACCTCATCATTGAGATCTCGTAAATCGTAAGAGATACAGTTTCCGTTGAATCATGGCAAAGTTGTGCAATTTTATGTCTCACAAAATGCCGTGTTGAAACTTGAAAACTTCGATATACTTTCGGAGATATACGAAGAAAACACGAAATTTCATAAAACCTTTTACATTTTCTATACAAGTTATTTGAAGAAATTCATCAACTTATTTCTTTTATATACTACCTGATATTTCTATTTATGAGACGAAGAAAATCCCCAAATATCACAGAAATGAATATTCCGCCTCCTCGATTAAGCTACCGACAGTTTAACCTTGTATTGATTGCTATTTTTACTTCTGACTTCAGAGACCATGAGAAAATATCCGCCGGCGCCAGTTTTCCTAAGAAAATGCACGAAAACTTACCGGATTCCCGATTCGAACGTGATAATAAAGGAAGGCCAGTCTGTACTGATTCCATGTTACGGTCTCCACAGGGATCCAGAATTCTTTCCAGAACCAGAATTGTTCGATCCAAATCGTTTCAATGAGGAAAACAAAGGAAAGATTTGGGACTACACTTATATGCCATTTGGAGATGGCCCAAGAAATTGCATAGGTGAGCTACTAGTAAACAGGAAGTATGTACTACTATAAATCAGAAACTGCATGTGATTTTTATCATAAGGGGAACATATTGATATCCTAGTATGTTTGTTCTTCTATTTCAAGATAACAGATTCAAATACGAAGTATTTCGCATTTGTTGGTACCACTCTGTTTATTAAGTCGCTATCGTACGAAATTTTACAACAACAGCTAAAACATTACTTTATGATGAATGTCTGCTAGTGGGCCATGTATTGATGACTGAATTATATGAAGTAATCTTTCTAGTCTGAAAATGTGACAAGTGAAAATATACTTCAGTGTATTTTATTTAGAAATCAGAAGTTAACACCACTTACAGCGAAACCAATGAACAAAATGGCTGTGAAATGTTTACTCAAGTACTCAAGTCTGTCAAAATGAAAGTGTACTTTCAAACTGCTCAAAAGTCAAATACTATGGTACTCGAACGACTTGTACAAGAAAAAACATGATCAGTTTTCATTTTATTTGTTCTAGGGATGAGATTTGCCATGATCCAAGCGAAGATTGCACTTTCATTAACCTTGAAAAACTTCAAATTCACTTTGAGCAAGAAGACGATACTACCGCTCAAAATGGAAACAAAAGGAATCATTCTAACACCTATAGGAGGACTATGGCTTGATTTGAAGACAATATGAGTTGAAAAATGTTAGTGTGAATTGAGGATGGGATTATAAGACCATTATAGTCTATAATGAAGTATGTAATACTAGTTGTGAATAAACTTATATACATATTCTAGTTATTTACTTATTTGTAAAAGAATTGGTTTGATGACGAACAGGAGCGAACATTTGAAATGAGTTTGCTTATAAACTGTCAGTATCTCAGTGGATTATGTCATAAATTCATAAGCAATTTTATAATAGTTATTGGTTCCAGTTCAATGTCGACATCATCAACCATTTCAAAAACATGTCCGCCTCAGCAATATGATTATAATTGTTTTTGAGATATTTCAATAAGGAGCCCGTCATAGTTTTCAGTTGAATAATTTGGTAACGCAAATACTTCACTGAAATACAAAAAAATTAATATATGCCGCTAAATGAAAGTGTTACGCCACATGTCTATCTGTTCTTAAATATTCTCATCAAAATTGTTATGATATACCTACAGAGTTTCTCGCCATTATTATGTATCATCTTCTTATCTCCACTACTATATGGAGCAAGAATATGTACATACATAGGGTTGGCAAATTTTGATGTTTGTACAGGATAACTCGGCAACTATAGACGATACAAAAAAAATGAAACTCCCAATCTCTGTTTTGAGACAAATTCACTGGCGGAAAAAAATTGCTATCTCCTTTGGTTTTCGACATGTAAGGAGAAAACAACTTTGGCATTATCAAGGCATAATGTATCATATTATGTCGGGTCGCTTTCCTTGTGTGAATCTTCAATAGCGATAATAACGTTTATTTACAACCATATATGTAATGTTGTCATTACTAACGTCGTTGAAGGTTGGGAAGTGTCATATTACACACCTCTACTTCCCGCCCTCACTTACCGCCATCAATTATGTAATATTTCAGATATGTTCAGAACGAAACAGAGATTTATTAATTTTGATCAAAATATGATGGTTGTAAATAAAATAGTACACAAAATATACTATTTACCTACGGCCACTATAGAAAGTATGCAAGAACACACGAGATACAGCCTCAGTAGCTCTTAACGCACAATAAGCACATCGCACAGTTTTCGTTTATTCCGTATAGGTATGTCATGATCGCGTTATCGCTGTCAACAGCGTATGACTTAACTGTCAAGAATTATAGTTCAGACTGTTTGTCCAAACTTTTTTGATTCACTATATGGCAGTAGGTAAAGTATAGTGCGTAATGCGTGTTGTAAAGCAATTACGTACTCATGGAATTACTTTTCCATTCGTGCGAAATATGCTTCTTACAACACATATTACGTAATATACTATTACAAAGATCACTTTTGACGTTTCTTGTATACTCATTCCAATAAGGCGGGTGTCACCTATGACAGTATCTATCCATATCCATAGTGGAAGGAGAAGATGGTGTGCTCAACAGAAAGCTCAAACTCGTCTTGTTCTGCGCATGACGTCAGCTGGGATATAACTGTCATTACTAAAATTGAATGAAATATTTTCGAGATGCCTACTAGTTTCGTTTCTGGTTATGGATCGAAATTCCCACTAGCATATAAAAGGCACAGTTATTGAATTTTTCTACTTTTCCAATAATGGAGACCTGATGAAACGATGGGAGCTTGCTGCCGACAGAATATAAAATCAAATAATGGTACCTACCTTATATTCCTTATATCCTCATTCCAAAGTATTCACCTATCATATTATCATCACATTCATATTAAAACACTTATTCGTCAAAGCACTTCTATGCAAAATTTCCCCAAACAAGTGCGAAAGTACGGTTCTTAAATTACACACCTCTGAAAAATCACAAATATTTTAAACAAGATGCCATTCCTACAGAACATCTTCCGGATGTCAAGTCAGAAATAATCGAAAATGAATTCAAAACTCTCAATTTCTCACAAAATATAAATTGCAGCAAAGATTTGAATAACAAAACGGCAAAAATTGATACTCCTGTTGTCGATGTCGGAGCAGAAGCAACGTCAACGTCGTTAACTGCTGAATCTTAATCTGTCAGAATCGACACAGTAGTGGATCATTCAGATGTATTTGCTATTTGCGATAGCGAATTACCTCAAGATCACAATTTCCAGAATCAATAGTGAAATCGAAGGAATAATATTATTTCTAAAGAGATCGAGAAACTTATAGAAATTTCAATAAACATGATTGAATTCATCGCGCAGGCCCATGGCAACGGTATCTGTCTGTGACTAGCAGCTGATGGTATCCCAGATGACGTCACATAATATGCGCGTAGGCACACCATCTTCTCCTTCCACTATGTCCATATCCAACTTAGCTGTGCCTTCGAGATGCACACAAGTTAAAATATTACAGTTATAGGAAATTAGGAAAAATTTTGCATACCTTTGCTGCCACTTCGAATATCGCAATTTTTCTCTCTTGACTCTCCAATTTTTCTTGCATCATAGCCGCACCCAGCCCTCCAGAATGATGCTGTTGCATTTCAAGTCTAGAATTCAAGGTTTCAATTTCAGTTGACAATCTCATATTCTCGATTTTCAGCATTTCCAATTCTCTGCAATTGGGGATGTCTCTATTCGCAGTTTTCAAGCTCTTTATCCTGTTTTCGAGGTTATGTTTCTCCCTTTCGATTCTCTCAATCAATAACCTATAACCGGTATTTGACTGGTGACTTTTCTCAAATTCGGCTTCTTTCTCTTTCAATTTGTTCTTGTATTTTTCAGCAGCCTGTTGCCAATGTTTCATTTTTTTCCATTTATCAAAATCATCACTGGCTTGTACTTTGTGAATATCATTTATTGCAATTTGTTCTTCTAGCGTCTTTTTCAAACTTATCAACTCCTCTTCTTGGTTCAAAATTTTCCTTTGTAATTGGTCTTTTATACTTCTCTCAGATTTGTCACTTCTCGCCGTTATCGGTCTGAATAATGATAAAAATATATCAGCTGCTAATATTATCACTCATCACTCCAGTAAAATTCCCGTTGTAGCGACAAAAAATTGGAGAATTATAGAGATATGGAATAACGCGACAAAAATTCGAGCGATGACAACATAATACCTACCTACCTAGCTAATTAATTAAAGGTCACAAGACTCTGACTGATAGAAGACTTATTGAATTTTAATGAAAACAACAAGAACTCATAGTCCAAGAACCAGTGCAAATTTCGACCTTCATTTGATAACGAAATCACATATTATGTATGTATATTTTATTTACGGCGCCTGTGCAATCACTATCCTGAGCAACATGGTTGCAAAATGGCACTTTCCTGTGCGACAATTTGTGCAAAATTTCGCGACTTGATAACAAGATGATGATGAGAAATATGCCATCCGATACCAATAGAATGGTGCAGGGTCTTCACGTACATTATGAGCCCCCATTCAACTTTTTTATGTATTGTTCAACTTTTTTTCGAGGACGTTCTGTCATATTTTTACTGTAGATTATACAGGGTGGAGACTTTAACTCGAATAAATTCGCTACTGCGGGAGTGAATGAGTTATCTGAAAATTCGCGAGACACGTCAACGTTTGAATGTAATTACCTACATTTGGCGAGCAATATAGAGAATATAACCCTTCAGGGGTAGCTGGAATCAACCCCAACATGTTTATTTCAAATGCAATACTATGGATTGCGACCCCTCATTGGCAAGCTGGTTGAAAGAGGAATCCAGCGTACTGATCATATTTCAGTTTGCAGTACGTTTGGGGGTCGCATAATATCGAAATAGTATTTTCAAAAAAATTTCGACTTTTGTGGTAGTGACATAGGGAAACTTCGTTTCGAACTGTGAATACGGCAAAAAAACTAAAATTCTTGCAGATAGCAGTTGTGGCAAAAAATTGCCATCAATAATTATTGTTCAACACACATTTCGAGCTATTGATACGTTGAAAACAAATTGAATTTCTAAATTACATTTCCTTTTTCCAACAGCTTTCCAATAAGGGGTCACAAGCCATAGGGTTACATTTGAAAAAATCATGATGAGGGTGATTTCAGCTACCCCTGGAGATATATTCTCGATATGGCTTGCAAAAAGTAGGTAAATACATTAAATCCTAGGCGCATGTCGTGAATTTTTAGAAAAAATATTCATCATACATACCAACAGAAAAACAATTGAACATCCCAAAAATTACTTATATGGACAACATTTATAAGTTCTCAAATACACCCTGTGTGTAATATGCAATAAACATTTTCATATTCTCCCAGAAGAGCTGATTTTATTGATCGATCACACTTGAGGCTAGCTGAAATGATTACAGAGATATAGGGTGTGAAAATTTGAGATTTTTTTCAACTTTAGGAATTTTTTGTGTCGAAACTATTCATTAACGGCCAAAACGGTTTTCATGTCCCTATCCTAACTTTTGATTTACTATCTACTAACATTTAATTGAAACAAATACAGGGTGGTAAAAATTCAGAATTCTGATGACCCTGGTATTTGTTTCAATTAAATGTCACTAAATCAATAGTTAAGATAGGGACATGGAACCGTTGTGACCGCTAATGAATGGTTTCGAAACAAAAAATTCCTGAAATTGCAGATAAATCAATTTGTCATACCCTATATTCATTTCAGATAGACCCCAAGTGTGATCCATGAAATCAGATCTTCAGGGAAAACCTGAATATGCAATTAAATACAGGGTGTCCTATTTAAAATTTATAAATGTTGCCCATAAGTATTTTTAGAGATGTTCAACTGTTTTTCAATTGGCATAATATAAAATCTACAGAAAAAATATGAAAAAATGAAGAAGTTAAGCGGGGGTTCAAAATATACGTGAAGACCCTGTACATCTCAAAACCCTAGCTGTGCCATACCTTGAGTTGGGTAAAATCCGCGGCACAACTTTTTTTGCTGCCTTCAATGTGGACATACTTCCGTTATGTAATAACGAGTTGAAAGAAAATGTAAATATCCAGAGCTGGCGTGATTTAATCTGCTCTAAGTTGGTGGCAGCGCGTCAATTTTTCCAAGAATATTTCGCCCTCGTCAAAAGATGATATCCGATGAACCAAAACATCAATTAAATGTCCATAGGATATTATCTTCCAAGGGCAAAATATTCTCGGAAATATTAATGCTCTGCCACTAATAGGTGCGTTCGGTTTAACAAAATCGGAGCCGAGCGAGCAGATGCAGATTTGGTGTCACGTGATAACCTAGTTGATAGAGCTAAAAATATTCAACGAACGCTCTTATATTGAGTTTTGAGTTCATTGCGAGGTAGTAGATTACGAGCGCCACCTGTCAGAAGTAACAGAAAACAGAAACAATTCACTTAACCTTATTACTTTTAAAAACACGTCAGGGCAACAAAGTTCTTTTGAATGTTTGTTGTTTACTTGGAATTATATTTAGAAAATTACTAGGGACGGAATGATTCTGTCTCATATGAACGGTCATTAACTGTGGATCAGGGCAGTTGTGATCGCATATATTACATATATAATAATTATGCTACCTACAGGAAATTCGTCGGTCATTCTGGCGATTCTGGGCAAGGAGGATTCTACAAAATTCAGTTTCGTGCTTCGTTTCCAGTCGATCAAGTCTTTGATTTTTCGACACAAAAAAGATATAATTTCAATAACATGTTGTTGACATTGATTTGTTGACAACTGACAACCGAATAACCGATCCTCAAGGCGGAGCAGACAGATTACATCTTTCAGCTCGCTCTGACAATTAACGAACACGGAGCAGATTAGACAGAGGAAGTAGATCTGATTTATCGAACGCTTTCCGAGCTAACAGATGGAATTGAGCTAACAGATATGTTATAACCGAACGCACCTAATGTAGATCAGTTTGAATTCCTCCTCTCCCCAAAAAGGTACCTTCTTCACTACTATTTGGCATGAAAATGGTTGTGGTCACGTGACCTAGTGTCAAGTGAGCACCATCAACTTTTTTTTTCAAATATAAAGAGGGGTCACGTGGTACCTTGTTTTGATGGCCTTTCGATTCTCTATCCAACACCGCTCTGTTTGTACAAATCGGCCAAGCCGTTTCAAGATGACAAAATCACATAGATTTTCATAAAACCATCATCTCGGGCTCTCCTCCAGGAGCCTATAACCGCCCAGGGGACCATTTCTGGACCAATGTTTATATGAATTACAATTCTGTGGTTGAAAACTTTCTATGTAATTTCGGGACACCCTGTATATTTCATTTGATGTTACAACGTTCTCTTGTCAGTTCAATAGGCGATTCATGCTAAGGAGTACTCCCTCTACCGTTGTCTAATATAACTAACGTATGGGCCATTGATTGCTTTGTTTACATTAGTTTGCGTGTATTTTGTATAAGAAGTAGTTGTTTTAATTGTCTATAATTTTGTTTGAAAACTTCTATAAACGTTTAAAAACATGAGTCATCATTGTTGTGTACCTCATTGTTCATCTTGAGCAAAAAAATCCCGAGTATAGCTTTCATTCCTTTCAAAAATCAGGACAGTCTAGATTTGTATTTGAAACTAATAATTTGGGAAACAAGGAAGTGATCGGTAGGAGAAAGGTGTGGATTCATAACTTGAAGATTGGAAAAAGTGTAAAGTGTCTGAACATAATGAGATATTGTTCTTTACACTTCACTGAAAATTTACTCATACCTATAGGTATATTTTCAAATGTATGTCTATTATGAATATAATACCTACTTCTTGAGGTGGTGGTAGAAGAACAAACAAATTTCAAACTGATTATATCTTTACTCATGAACAGTAGAATTTTTAAACAGTAAAGAATGCTATCAATCAGGGTTTCGATGATTATGTTGTAGAAAGTCAAGTAGAAACTGTTTACCTAAATTCACCTTCCAAACAACACTTTATTCCCAAAAAGTTTGCTGGATTTTGTTTTAAAAATATTATGCACTATCAGGGGAATATCCCAGCTATATATTCGAATTGGAAATCAACATCCCACACAGGTTTTCATGAGAATTATTGTTCAATAATGATAAAAACTTACAGCCTATGCATGTTGGTATATATGAAGTTCAACTAGAGGTAGGGAGGTTATCTAATGTTGAACAGAGATAATATAGTCCTCAATCAAAACACAGTAGACCGCTGGAAAATACAAAGTTCGAAAATAGACAAATAACATAGCTAGACGTTTGAAATCTCAAAACGAAATGAACATAAACACCATTACCAAACAATGTAAACAATCCGCCAATGGCCCATAGAGTAGTACCGACATTCGCCGTTCTGGCGCTACGATCTTAATATCAATCGCCTATAATTGAAATATTGACATTTAAACTTCACGTTTCTCATGTTGTTGATGTTGCCATGGTGCCTTTAATACAGGAGCGTTATGGAAAAAGGGATTTAAGCACGTCTAAATAACCGAAATAGAGTACCAATACGAATAAAGATACAGAATGAAACTGTTTTCAATAAACCTGAACAGAAAAATCACCCCAAGATATGGTGACCTCTAACGACGAAACAACGGAACTTTCTACAAAAGTAAGTTTTTTCTATGTATTTTCAGTCTAGCATGCCGTTTTGTCAATTTTTCTTTAAATTGGTAAAATGATGAAGGATGAAAATAAATCAAATGTCAAAATGAATGGAGAAGGTTGGCATCACAAAATGAAATAAACGAACATAAGAAGAAAAATGTTTACTTTTTCAAGAGTTGTGCTTTCAATTCTCTGATTTCTTCCTTGGCATTCCTTTCTTTGATAACTAATTGTTCGTATCGTCTTTTCAGAAGCTCGTTCTCCTTAGCTAGTGCTTCTCTAGAAGATTCCAAATCCGATAGTTTTGGAGAAAACTCTTTTTCAGGTTGTTCAGATCTCTTCATGTTATTCTGCAAGAATACATAATATTGAATCACTTTCGAAAGATGTATGAATGATTCAATTACTTTGAGATAGCGTAATTTGGTGGTTAGCTCATTTATTCTGTCATCCTTGTCTTTGATGAATTTTTGGATATCGGCATCTAATCTCCCTGAACGCTCAACTCTCTGCTTGCTCATGAGTTGTCTCAGATAATTGGCCTCATCTTTACCGATTTCGATCATTTTCTCAATGTCCATTTTGAACATATCGAGTTCATTTCTATGTCGGTTGTCCAACCTTCAAGAAGAAAAATTATTATACCAAAACACTATGACCTTTATATGGAAGGTATCTACATCAGGGTGGTCCACCTACATATTTTCCTCAGAATCAAGCTAATAGAAGATACCTACCTACTTTTGCTGTGTAGTCAACAATAGATAATCTTAATCTAATTGGTGAGCTGTTATAACCGATCGTATTTAATCAATCTACCTGAAATATTTTTAGTCCTCCAGCTAAAGAGATGCAATGTGTTGTTTATAGCAAAGAATGAAATAAATATTATTATTATTAAAAAACAGGGTGTGCCAAAAGTCGGCACCAACTTTCCTACTGTAAATTGAAATTTTTTCCACACGCTAGTATTACGATAAAATGTGTATCACTCAAACCGTTCAAAATTAGAGCACCAAATTGATGGATCAGTTAGTAGGAAGGCCAGGCTAATTCCTGGTGTCCTAACAACGGTCCCATTTGGTATTATGCAATGAATAATGGCCAAAAACTTGACTTTTCCAAATGGCACCTTCAAATTTTTCTTACACCTATTTAGTACTTTACTTGTATGACCCAATATGTTAGCTTTGTACTTGTTTTACCCTATATAGGTTTATTTTCATTTGTTGTTATCATGACGACCAGTTGTTGAAATATTATAGTTGATTAATAAACTCACAAGAAATTGCAATTCGAATTGCAATTTCTTTTTTTTTCAATCTGCGTATCATCAATTTTTATTGAACAATCATCAAATACAGTCCACTCTTCCCAGTACTTTACTTGTATGAGCCTATATGTTATCTTTGTACTTGTATTCTCCTATATAGGATTATTTTCATTTGTTATCATGACGACCAATTGTTGGAACATTAGAGTTGATCAATAAACTCTCAAGAAATTGCAATTCGAATTTGTCGTTTGACTTCTATTAATTACCTACCTAATAACGTAACTGGTAAAGGACTAATAGAATAGAATAGAAATTTATTCATCATTGAAAATTCTACATCTGTATTACATACATTTATAAAAGTTTATCAGACTAGTCAAGAACAGGAATAAAAACATTTGAACAGACACAAACATTTTAAAATAGAAGTTGAAGGATTAAAGTTTTATAATATTGAATACTCATTTAGATTGTAAACATTCCTCAACAGAGTAGAATGCATTTTGGACTAGATGATTGTATAGAGCTGATTTGAAACTTCCTAAGCTACATGCGTTTCCAAATAGTTTGAGTGCATGGTTATAGCAAATGATACCTTGATAACTCGCAGAGTCCTGTCCCAGAGCCAAACGAGAATAAGGTAGTCTTAGTTCATTACCTCTTCTAGTATTGTAGATGTGGATCATATTATTTTTGGTATGGTGTGTTTCATTTTTTCTAATGTGCATTGTAATCGTATAAATGTAGAGGCTGGGTAAACTCAGTATGGCCAGTTGGATGAATGTACTCTTACATGATTCTTTGTAATGTAGACTAGAGTCCCTGTATATACCTTAGATAAGAGTCCAGACACAGCTATACTTCTGTCCTTTTCTGTTTTCAAAAAATGCATTGATGATTGAATAAAGGAATAAGACATATATATCGAGCTCTGTCTTTTCAATTTCCCTAGTATCAATGATTGTCAGAAACAATTTTGAGGGTTAGATTATTTGTCAAACCGTTCATAGCCGTAGGTAGAAATGGGAAATATTGCTATTTTAACTATAATAACTATTGAATAATAATAATAACTTGAATCCCTTTTCTAATGAATTGTCGCAATAATGTACGCAGCAGGAAAGTGACAGTGACAGAAATTCGAAATAATTAAAAAAAGCTGGCGGGACGACTATGGTGTTTCGTCACATTGTCAGGTGGACAAACCAAATGGAACAAAATATTGAAAACCCCAACAGCTGTCAGTTTTGTGTCCGGACTCTTGTCTAAGGTATATACAGGGACTCTAATGTAGACCAGCTAGACATCTTATCACTTTTTTTTTTTAATTTTAAAAACTTTTATTGCATGTGCCGAGTTCCCCCAGAAAGGCAATCCATATGATAAAATGGATTGTACAAGTCCATAGTAAATCAGCTTAAGTACATGTAGCGAGACTGTTTCTCGTAATGGGGTTGTACACTCTAATCGAATTCACGCCACTTACCTATTTTATATTGATCAGTCCATGTGTAAATAGTAGTTGATGCTATCAGTCCTTATTTAAAATCATCTAAAATACGTTTTTTCATTAATTGAAAATCAGAACCTTCGAAAAACGCCAGGTTTCGTGACGTCATCAACCTGCTGGCACGGAGAATAGTCATCGTTGCCAAATTTATAGCCAGAAATTACCTATATGAGATTCAATATCACCAATGACAGAGTATTTACGTTCGCAGAAGACAATGTGGCCACCTGGTTCCTGATAATCACTTAATGAATACTTATATACCTTGCAAGATGATGATTCAGTGTCAGTAATAATATCCTAATATTCGTTATAATGATCATAATTTTATTCAAACCCAAACTTTTTTGTGGGTCTGGCAACAGCGCAATCGTCGAAATATCAATAGAGAAGAAGAATTATTCTAACCTAACCTAACGTAGGCCGTCTGGTTGGTAAACAAAAACAAATCAAAGACACGTTTGTTTACTTGAGGACTTTGTGGGTTTTGGAAGCCTTTTAGAGTATTATTTTGAGTCAGATTGAGTTTTGTTTAGATTAATTATGTATAATGAAAACTCACTGTGATTTTGAAAAGAAAATGCAAGTAACATGTGTTGTGGTGGGACCATTTGATGTTTATTCCCTTTCCTACTGTGATACTGTGAAAAACTCTGTGCATTACCCACAGATGAAGGATCTATCAAGAAAAATAAGGGAAATGTGGATAGCAGCCATCAAGAGAAAGAATCAACAACAGAAACATTCATAATAAACCAGAGGATATGTAGCAGACACTATTTTCATAACAGGTACTTGAGAAAAAGGATTTTAATATTATTCATATGTACCTACCTACTCTAGAACTGATGAATTTTGTATTTCATGCTATTGAAAACATATATCATTTTTCTTTTTGATGAAAGAAGCCAATACTCATTACCTTTGATGGCCCTACATGGCTTGGAAACATCATGTTTTCAATACACACATAATTTATTTACCTTGTAGGAGAACCTAGTGCCTGAAAGATGAAAATCATCCAGCTTGGGCAGCATAATATGGATCATCAATCTCAAGCCCATTCAAATCACAAGACTGATGTGGATCAAAAACTGAGAGCAGAGAAAAGGTTTGAATCAGAAATCCAGTAATAAAGCATCTGAGCCAAGAGACCTGGTATGTTCCCAAGAAAACATCTAATTACCTACTTCACTTCAATCATGAAGCCTTGCTTTATTAGTAAACTAGGTATATTGATATGTAACATTTTATATTCATTTTAGTGTAATGAAGAAAGTGTCTGGGAGATGAAGACACAGTAGAGATCTCGGTAGAGATAATTGGTGAAAATGAGGTGAAAATCTACTATAGATTCCATATTATACTTTTACAAATTATAGTTTGTTGTGATTTATTTTTATTGATTATAAATGAAAAACAAATATAGTTAGTACTTATATCAAAATTGTAATATTCAATTAATGAAAAATACAGTATTATTCCACAGTAGGTAATGTATATTACAAGAGATCTACATAGGTCATGAAAAAATCTTCATAGAACATTATAGGTATTCAGTGATCTGATTGAAACAAAAATGAACAATGGTAGAATGATATATTATGAATAGGTAGATATTTTTTTATAGAACTTGTTAAATCAAAATTCACAAAACCATGCCAACTTTGGTGTACCTAAAATATATACACATTAAAAATGGAACCATTTGATTTCACTGTCACAACTATTCATAAGCACTAGAACACTTATACCCATGGACATATAAAAAAAACCAATGGTTCATTTTTGCATGTACTCTTCTAATAACTCTTTCAACATGAATTCTCAGAGATGCTATTATTTTGCTATTTTGTACTTCTTGTGGTGTAGATTTCATTTGTGATGATACACTTGGTGGCCTAACTAACTCAGAACCTTTCTCAGTGTGGCAATATGTTTAAAGCCTCTACCAGCCAAAATAGATACATTTGTGGGTAACTCATTCAAATTGGTAGATTTTTTCACAATCTCTGTATCAGATATCCTTCCTCCATACCTATGCTTTAGGTATGAAATTGATAAATCCTGGAGTACAAGATAAAAGGAATGTCACTGTATTACAGCTTTTATATTCAGACCAGCTATTTGCCTGTATAACTGGATCTGGCTTCTCAATTTCAACTTGAAAACAGTCTATTATGCTCTGAACATTACTGTACCTAGCTCTAAATGTGATTGGTGTATTTTTTTGAATGTCTATGTCAGGCTGAAATACAAAATTCTGCAATACATCTGCCATCTTTGGTAAAAATTCTTTGGATATTGCTAATACTAACTCCAAAATCAATAGCTAATCTTTGGTGTTGATCATTGAATTGAATTGAAGAAATGCTTCCCTCTTCACAAATAAGATGTACTATTATATAAGTCCCTGGATTTCCAAGAAACAATCTTGATAAAGTTCTATTGCATAAATTTCAGTTTCTTTATAACTGGCTTTTGTATGTCTGTCAGCAATCTCATCAAGATCAGTTGAACTGTTTAGCTCATATTTCCTTGTAGGAGATGAAAGAGATTCAGATATTGTATATGAACTTGAAAATGAAGGTTTCCCTCAACTTCCCTCAACTTGATATGATTCATTGGTTGGGTACATCATGAAAAGTTTTATTTTCCATATTTACACCTCTACTTCTGAATGGCCTTTTTATATTAGTCTGAATAACTATTTCTTCCTCAACCTCAATGATGTCAGGAACTGATATAGGTGTATATGCTACATTTTTGGATGATGAGGGTTCTGCACTTAGTTCTGCATAATCTGATAGCTGTATTTTTCGTTTCTTCCAAACATTTTCCAGCAACTCTGCTTTCCTTTTGTTTCCCTTATCAGTCAGTACACTTCTTTTGTATGTGGGTGGCGGTACATTCAAGAACTTGTGTGGCACTGCATGAGGTTTCAGCTTGAGTGTTGTTCCAATGATTTTGGAAACCATCCAATTAACTGCATCGTCTTCAAGCTGGAATATCGGAAAGTGACAAGGATATCACATTTCACAATGGGAACCCACATTGAAATGATCCTCACAGCAGTAGAGGTCATGTCCTGAAATAAATTCCAGATGCACTGCCAGTTTTTCCTGCGTTGGGTACTAGCCGGGACGGTCGAAAACAGTTTTTCAGGTGAATTCTCACTACTATTTTGACAAATCGGTATAAAATATACGACTACCATAGGTTAGGTTATACGCAATCTTCTTCTCCAATTTTAGTATCATTGCCAAAATATTCATCTCACATATTTTGATAAATGACAATCAGAAATATTTTTGCACTTGTCTAAGAGAGAGAGAATGGATATGTATGTCGAATCTTATATGAATTGTTCACCGGCTGCCTACGTCACGCGCTTTCCCGCGTTTTTCATGTTACGAAATATCGTGTATTTCAATAATTATTTAAAAAATGTACAGAGCTCTGGGGAAAAAACGGTTTGCGACAGTGAACTAGTTAGGGTTAGTACTTCGAAATAATGAAATAAAATTTTTCACTGAAACAGGCCCATTGTTTTATTACAAAGCACATACTGCTCACTTTCGTGACAAGGTTTTCTATATGTACTTCCCATGTTAATTTCTGATCTACAGTCAGGCCTAGATACTTAAACTGACTCACTTGCTCTATGGAGTTGTGATTAACTCTTATTAGGGGACAGTGATCATACGAAATGTTTTTTTGTTGGAAAATCATGAAGACCGTTTTACTATTATTGATTATTAAGCCATTATTTTCACACCATCTGGCGAATTCTTCTGCAGCTGAGTTTGCTGATTTTATATCATGAATATTATAAAAAAAGAAGTGGCGCAAGAGTTGACCCTTGAGGAACCCCAATTGACACAGACGCAGGTTGTGATTTCACAGAATCAATAACTACTACCTGCGATCTGTTTTTTAGATATGAGGCCACCCAATCGTTGGCAACCCCTCTGATTCCAGTTCGATATAGTAGTATAGTAGAACTGCAATTTTCGAATTGTATCTACCGTTTTATTTTCAAATCTAGGTACCGTTTGTTATGTCTTGACCTGGCAACACTGGCGGAGAAGGTTGCCATTCAGATTCCCTATGGCTATATTCCGAATTCAACTGGTCAGTACTGTCAGTTGATCCACTGACTCTGCTGAAAATATGTGTTCCGAAATATAAAATCAAAAATTCACTACTGTAATTCGGGACACGCTTTCATGGTTTTCATCAGTAGTAGTTTCTCGTTCATCTGAACTAGATGTTTAGCCTTCTACTTGTTATAAATTTTGGAAATTTAATATTTAACATAGAAGAGACATCGATTCTTGTATCCTCCATAGTTTCTACGATTGTTGACGATGGCGATTCAAGCTCGAGTGATGAAGAATACCTGGACATTTTTTTGCCATAAATTTTTCATGACGCAATATGCCTTTAATGATGAATTTTAGGAGAAATTCCAGGTTTATTCAGTTTATTCAGCCAATGCTGCTCCCTTCCTTACCTGATCTACTACTTCATACTCCATATCCATGATATTGAGAATCATTTCATTATAACAACGAAAATGAATGTTACATTCCTTCCCCCTCTGAAATATGACAGTTCACTGAAGCCACACTACCTTTTGATACTCAGCAATTCCAGCAGAATGTTGAGTCGAAATATTTGGAATGAATAGTATGTCTGCTGACAAGCATCTGTCACTTTCAGTGAATTTTTTGATTTCGGAATGGAAAATCAGCAGATTCAGTACTGTCAGTTGAATTCGGAATATAGCCTTTATAAAACGACAATATGACAAGCACTGACAATCAGACATAACCACAAATAAATTGATGGAAAAAGCGGGAACTGACAGTACACGGACGTACATGACATACATTTCAAAGGTTTGACAAATTGAGGAAATAAGGAGAAAGATGCAAGTTTGTGCAGTTTCCAACTGTGAGAACACGGGAAATCAATTCACTCTATTCGAATTTCCATCGGATAACGTAATTCTACAAAAATGGAAACAGAATATGATGCGGCCGGCATTGAATATAGGTTCAGGCGAGGTATTCAAAGTTCTTGGTAGGATATAGAACATTTTTCAACGCATTTTCATCAGGTACACTTCAGAACGGAAGATTTGATGTTGAAGAATAGGATCATATTGAGAAATAGTGCTGAACCCACAATTTATGAACTGAGCGAGTATTGCAAAGAACCTTATTCCAATTCAGAACCAAAAAGAAACGAAAAACTTGCAGATAATGAAATTCTGAACTTCTGTGATCGAAAAATATTCAACTGAACGTATATAATTACCTACATATAAGAGACTTACGTAATTAAGATAGTATATGTATTTCTATGGTATATATGTACATACCAACTTGATATTGATCTCCATTGAGGTCCTTCAGCCTTATCATTCAATATTTCGAGAAGAAATAATTTTCTAATCAATTTATCGTACCCTTTTACCCACTCGAGGAGACGCTATGCACTCTCATACAAAAATCAAAGATAGAGAAAGATATATGGATGTACTCTTCCCAGTACTTGTGGAGGAAGGAAGATGCGAGGATCCTTCATCTTAGTGAAAAACATATTCTTGTCCTTGTCTGGCAAAGCATATGATTTGCTTCGAAATCGTTTGTGGTTATGTTTGATTGTCACTGCTTGTCAAGTGTCTGTACTCTCATATACAAAAAACGTAAAAACAGCAGTGTCAAGTACATTCAAGAACTCTGACTAGACGAAACTAGAGTCCCTGTATATACCTTAGATAAGAGTCAGGACACAGCTATACTTCTGTCCTTTTCTGTTTTCAAAAAATGCATTGATGATTGAATAAAAGAATAAGACATATATATCGAGCTCTGTCTTTTCAATTCCCCTAGTATCAATGATTGTCAGAAACAATTTTGAGGGTTAGATTATTTGTCAAACCGTTCATAGCCGTAGGTACAAGTGAGAAATAGGGCTATTTTAACTATAATAACTATTAAATAATAATAATAACTTGAATCCCCTCTAATGATTTATTGAAATAATTTAAAATGCTAAATTTTGGCGATCATAAAATTTTTAAGTGACAGTGACAGAAATTCGAAATAATTAAAAAAAGCGGGCGGGACGACTATGGTGTTTCGTCACATTGTCAGGTGGACAAACCAAATGAAACAAAATACTGAAAACCCCAACAGCTGTCAGTTTTGTGTCCGGACTCTTGTCTAAAGGTATATACAGGGACTCTAGACGAAACAAGGATTTGAGGATGAAGGTGACAGCCGATATTTACCTATTAACGTCAGGAAGTTAGGTTGACAATTTAGTTTGTCTTCTTATTTTTTCGTATTTCTGGGAACTTACCTATTACACTGTTGCCCGTGTAAGTATTTAATAAGTGATTAGTAGTGACCAGGTCGAACTATTCTTCTGTGAATGTGAATACCAGGAAATTCGGTTCATGACGTCATCGAACCTGGCGTTTTTCGAAGTCGCCGAATTGAATTATTGAAAAATTTATTTGAGATGATTTTGAGTAACGAATGATTGCATAGAATACTATTTATACACGGAATGATCAATATAAAGTAGGTATGTGGAGTAAATTTGACTAGTGTGTACAACCCCATTATCAAAAACTATTGAAGCTGAAAACTTTCTGACAAGGAAACTACTCGGTAGAGCAACACTGTGCGAATAATAAAATGCTCACTTTTGCCTGAGATCCTCCATGGCTGTTAGCCTATCATTGGCCAAGTTCCTCCACCTCATAGCTTCTTCCCTGCTGGAGTGCAACTGAGCATCTAAGCTTGTGACTTTAGTATGTAACTCAGAAGCATGCTTTTCGAAATCATTGACCTGAGACATGTACTGTTCCACCACATCATTGGGTGGACTACTTTGAGTCTTTTGTTCTTCGAGGCTGAAAAAAATATTCATAACAAAGGTTGACCAACTCGGCAAACGGTATCAAAAAACATCTTGTTGCAAAAATAATCATTATCGTCTACCTTAATTTCTTTTTGGGTTCTGAACCCCAATCTGGATTCACCCAACGACCTTTTCTGGCAATTTTTCACATATTCGCAAATAATAGAGACATTCTCGCACTTTTTTATTTCAAGAAGAATGAGCAGAAATTCGTGACCATTTGCATTCAACCACAGTTCAATTCCAAAAAGTAAAAATTTAATTTTGGGTCAAATTTTGTTGCTAACGAAATCTTATTATACTCAATTATGTAGATAATCATTCATAATGTCCATATAAAAAACAAGTACACCGTTTTTTTTTCAAACTGCGAAGCTTCCAATTCATGGAAATGGTTTATATCAAATCATCCCAAAATTGAATTTTCAAATTTTTAATACTTTGCAGTTTATGAGTCAACCATTGGAAATGCAGATGTCGCTCTATGCTTGAATTACAGATGTGTTACATCTTTATTTCAACAAATTTTCCTAATATTTGGCTCGAATGATGAGCCAAAATGTAAATTGTAACTTTTTGAGAAATATGACCATTTTTTGCAGTCTTGTGCACCTCAGGAACTGTCAGACCAAAAGTAGCAAAATAACCGAGCTCTGGACTGGGGTGGACCATAAATTGTAAAACATTTACAATCTACTTTGAGAAAGATGAAAATGATTTTTTGCGAAAAATAAAAAGAAAGATGTTGTTTTTTGCAACTCGATCAAACACACCTCTGGCATTTACGTTTTTCTTCGCTCAGCAATTTTTGAAGACTTTGGAGCTCTTCTTGTAAAGTAGCAGCAGCCATACTGTGTTTGTCTCTATCGACCTTCAACAGAGTCTGGTATTTCATTATTTCTTCATCCTTGTTTTTAAGATTGTCTTGTAAATCTTTGACAGATCCCTGTAAAAACAATGAATTAACTGTCCAGAAAGATTTCCGAGTTTCAATACTCCAAATCAGATATAGGTCAAATACATCCGAGTTTAACCCCCCTTGTGGTAATATTCAGATGTTTTTATTAAAAGCAAAAACAAAATCATTTTGAAATCGTCTTCTTCCCTTCAGAAGTGTTAATGTCTGTGGAAATTTTAGGGTAACATTATTTTTTCTTAGCAGAATCAAATTGTGATAATGTAAACCGAAGCAGAGGTGGTGAAGCAAAAAACTTGATGAAAATTTATATTATTATGCCAATATATCACACCAGTTCACTACTGTGAGTCAGATGGACGCTATATACGGAGGAAAATCATGAAAATTGGTGCGTATTGGGGAATTGTGAATATGTATTGTTTCTTTTTAAATTCGATTATTTCAAATTCAAACAAACATCAACTGGCAAAGTAAGATTGACAAGTCACAAATTTGACATCTGATATCGACCACTGCACTAAAAAGAAGTGTTGGACTGTTTTGACTAGGAGTGTTTGACTGAGTCTATGGTCCATCAGCAATGGTTATGACCACAATGGTCTGCATTGAATGCAGTGTTAGGGATAAAGAGGTAACTTTAACCGAATCGGCCGATTTTAATTTTATCAGAATTTTATTTTAGCTCAATGCCATATTAATTTATTTAAAACGTTTGTGTGAACATTGAATGTCTTCTTCAGTCCAAGAAACATGATTGTTTATGTTAGAGATATATAAACAAATAATAAATCTTCAGAGAATATAAGGTTACCCAATTTTTAATGAGTGAAATTAATTTGGACACTTTTTGTTATATTTTGATACTTTGTAAAGTAGGGTTCAAATAATCCAAACATTTTCCCATGTTATGAGGCCACAAATATCACATACCTTCAACGCCACAACCTCTTCATTAGAATTAGTAGTTTCAACACCGACACTTATATTATCTCCACCGGCTCCACTCGAAGATATTTCCCCTTTTTTACTCTGCAATTCCATGATGTGGTGTTCATAAAACGAAATTTGACTCTGTTTATCACCAATCTGTTTCCTGAATAAGCTTATCGTCATCTCATGTTCGGCTACTTTACTTCTTAGCTGACCTATGAACTGTTCTTTCGCCAATAATTCATCTTTCATTCTCGAAATTTCAGATTTCAGTGAGATAATTTCATCATTATTCGATTGGACGGTTATGTCGCATTCATCTTCTATCGTTTGGACCTCAACTGACACAAAAAACTTTCGCGGTGCAGGGATAGGGATAGCGATAGGGATAGGTGTTTCATCTGATTTTGTTTGATTTACAATACTATTTTTCTGAATGTAAGTTCCGTTGAAGTGTTTATGCCACAGTAAGAGTTCTTCATCTAGTTTTGCTAGTTGTTCATCTTGCAATTTTACTCTATCAATGAAATGCTGTAGCTGGGCTTCTTTGAACTCTGACTGACGTTTATACCTCAATTCCTGAAACAAGATAATGAAAATGACAATAAAAAATAATACAAAAATACTCACATTTATACTGTTTACACTGTTACACTGTTTTACCACTAACCAAACCGATTTTTTACACCCCGACGTGTGTTTCCCTAACTAGGTTAGCATCTTTAGTAGAAGATTAAAACTGTTTTAATCTTCTCCTGAAGTTGCTAACATAGTTAGCGAAACATGTGTTGATGTGTAAAAAATCGGTTTGGTTAGTGGTAAAGCAGTGTCTAGTGTATTATAGTGCCAAAAGTCCCAGTCTTTGATATACTCACATTTATCTGAAACACTTTCTTTTCTTGCATCCAACTTAAAACATTTTTATATCCTTCTATATTACTTCCCACACTCATTTCTTTGAGAGTCTTCAAATGAGTTAGTTCCAAAGTCAACTGATCTTTGAGCAAGTTCGCTTCATTTTCTGACATTTTCGCTTTATGCAAACTAAGAAAAGCTTCATGCTTGTCTTTGTTCATAGTTATGATGTTATTCACATATATTTCTTCAGAACAAAGAGGTATGCATCCGATATACTGCAACTTTTGCATGTCAAACAATTGTTGCAAGTACCTACAGAAAATTCGAAATATAATTAAACCATTTCAACTATTGAATCATTAGGGATGATTAGAGGTGCTCAACATTAGTGACATTCTCATAAGATATTACAGATAAAAAATTACATGTGACAGCTGGCAGGGTCACATTGAGTAATAAGTATTATGATAGCTGACAACAACTCAAAAGATAAGGATACAAAAGAGAAGAGATATTGAAAGGAATTATAAAGTGAAAAAACAATATTTAGGTATCAATTATTAATTAATATTTTATAGTGTGAAGTCCCATGAATATTATTATAAGAGTTGCAATTTTACTCATATTGGTACTACTAAATACTAACATGCCAATCATTTCACCCTGTTTGCCATCGAGAGCTTTTGATCCTATAAAAATAACTACAGGGTGTTTCCTAAATTGGAGCAATAAAATGGGGTGTATTGTACTTAATATTCACCTAATCTTTTTTTTGCAAGCAGCCTCATTTTCTTCTAAATTAGACTTTTCATTTTCTAACTTTGATAAATCCTTTGAGTATTTATAGTTCAAATTTTCCAATTCATCAGTCACTTCTTTCATTTTTATTTTGTTATAGTTCTGGCTCTGCCTGTATTGCAATATATCACTATTCAACTGAGCTATGATAACTTTTTCGTCAGACATGGAAACTAAATCGACGACTTGGTGCTTCAGATTCAACAGTTCTTGTTCTCTAGACTCATTCCAGGTCATTTGAAAGTCTAGAGTTTGCTTTTCTAATTTCGAGTTTTCAGTCATTTTGGTTATCATCATTTCTAACCTCTCGTTTTCCTTCAGTAACTCGCTATTACTTTCTTGCAACTTATTGTAAAGGCTAGGATCGATGTAATCAGATATTTTGTTTTCGGCATCTCTCAGTTGATCTTGTAAAGCTAGGTTCCTCTTTAGTAGATCGTCGTTGAATTTAGAATATTCCTGGAACCGTTCTTCGGATTTGTTCAACTGTTCTTTCACTAAATCGTAGAGATTGTTGGTATGGTTAGCTCTTTGTCTTTCAGATATTTCATTCACTTCAGTTTCTGCTAGTTTTTGCGAGAGTTTTTCGACTTTATACTCCACATTTTGTAGATTTTGTAAAGAAAGTTTCGACATTACTTCTACAAGTTTATTTTCTAGCTCTTTCTTATCAGATTCGAAATTTTTCTGTGATTCCAACAGTATCAATGTCTCCAGAGATTTGTCTTCTGCTTGCTTTTTGAGTGAATCTACAACCTCTCTGTACTTGACAGTCATGTTTGCCAAGTTTTTGTCTACTTCTTTGTAGGTTTCAAGATCAACAGATTGATCGTTCAAATTTTTAGCAATTTTCAAATTGTTTTCTAAGGACTTATTTTTTCTCTGTAATTCTCCAATTTTTTTTGAATGCAAATGTTCAGCATTTTCGATATCTTTATAGAATTCTTCGATTTTTTTGCTTAGTTTTCTAGTTTCATTTTCCAAATAACAAACTTTTCTTTTCATAGAACTGTTTGTCAATACTAAGTCGTCGATTTTCTTCACTTTTTCTTCTTCTGTTTCACAGATTAGTATCTTCAATTTCTCCATGAGATTATCATATTCTTCTTGGAGATTCTTCAGTTTGTCTTGCACGGATTTGAACGTCTCTTCCAGTTTATTTTTTTCAACGAACATACTTCTAAACCACAATAATAACTGCTGTTCAAGTACTGTGATATTTTCTTCTTTACTTTTATCGGTGTTTATGCGTTCTAACAGTTTTTTAAGAAGTATATCCAACGTTTCGGCTGCAATTTTTTCTGGTAATGAAGAATCTTCTAGCTTCTTTACTGAATCTTCTGAATCTTGTCCCGTCTCAGTGGCTTGTTGCTTACGATCTACATATTTATAATCACTTGTTCTTAACTTTGCAATTTCTAACCTAGCTTCTCTGAGTTGATCTCTTAGTTCACTATTGATCCCCTCCAAATTATGAATTTCTGCCTGAAGCCTCATTGCAGGATGGTACCATCCTGAGACATGCTTGACATCCAGTGCTCTCAGCAGTTTTTCAAACGTTTCTGACTTGACTTCCTTCAATGACGCAGTTTTTTTCATGTTGATACTGTGCAGTATCTCATGCATTCCTTTTCTTAATGCCTCGTTTTCTTCTGCCAACGTTTTATTTTCATTTTTGAACCGATCATCATTCACATTTTCGAAATTGTTATATTGTGGTTCTTGACCAAGATCAATGATTTGCCGAGTCAAAGAAGATATGGCATGGTTCAATTTCCGTACTTCTAGTTTGTAATGTATTGCTTTATCGTCTTTTTTTGATAACTGATTCCTGAGCATGCCTAACTCTTTTATCATTTTTTTCTGTTTGGAAGTGTATTCACCCAAGCTCAACTCTTCTTCTATTGGAATACCCAGTTTCTCCCTGAAAAACGTAACTTTTATTCAGCAGCAAGATATTGGTGAAAACTATACGAATATTTTCGAGTTACTGCAGCTTACCTGAGTATATCATTTTCTTTCTCAAAACAATCACAATTTTCTTGTATTTTATTAGAGGTTTTCACCAAGCCCATAATTTGCTTTTCTTTCATTCTGTTGTCAGCTTTCAGTTCTTGAATTTCTCTCAAATTCACCACAAGATCAACTTGACCATTTTCTTGCAGTTTACTTAAAATTTTGTTCAGCTAAAAATGTTTTTCAATAAAATGTCATTTATTTTTGATATCATGTACCTCTTCATCTTTGCTCCGGGATATTTTTTCAGCAAAATCAACTTCATCTTGCATTTTCTGACATCTCTCATGAGCTGTACTCAACTGCTTCTTAATTTCAACCATATTTTGCTCCAATCTCTCCATTGTCCTACTATCACTGTCTTTTTCATTTTTAAATTTTTTCATAATATCTGTCATTTCTTTTATATCCTTCGTGGCGATTTGAAGCTGAGTTTGAACCTCCAGTAATTGTTTTTCTCTCTCATCCAGAACTCTCTGCAAAGCTGACATATGGCACTGTTCTGGCTCATCTTTCGGTAGACTCGATATTGAAGAATTAAAGCTGGGTTCTTTTAGGCGAGCTTTTAAACCTTGTATTTCCCCATCTTTTTGTTCGATGGTTTCCTTGAAATAGTTTCTTGTCAATATTTTGGTGGTGAGGCTAAATAATATTGTTTACCTTTAAATCTCCTACAATTTGGTTCAAGTCCGTCAACTGCTTTTTCATTTCATTTTCTAAATCATTTTTTTCGTGCTGGAGTTTTTCCAATACTTTTTTCACATTGTCATATTGTTCAACCATCTTGTTCGAATGCTCTAGAAATTTGTATATGTATAAACACCTGATTGGATTATGTAATTCCCATAAAATTGTAGAGGAAATTAAATTAAAGTTAATCTCAAAGTTCAACGAATCAGCCCTCACTTTTATGGTATTATAGAGAGGAAGATAACAATAAACTGCATGTATGTATACAGTGTCATTCATGAAGTCGGCATCAAATAGGAAAAACTTTTCATATTAATTTATTTCAAAATCGACTTGGAAGTTAGGTTTTGCTTTAAAAAATATTACATGTCAAAAGTATCATATTTTCAAATTAATCGCTAAATATAACGTTGTTACTATTCCAATTCAACACATTATTGTGTGTCATGGATTTTAACATTCTATTACAACTTCCAAAATGATAACAATTTTTGCTTGTCTCACTTGGGCCATCTAGTGAGGAATTAATTTTTGTTTTAATTATTTATGGGTCGTTGAAAATATAGTTTTTCTGCAATCAACTCAAAAGTCATCTATTTTTGTTCCAAAATTAGCTCTTGGAGTTGATGTTTCTCTTGTTAACACAATAAAATGATTAGTGTGCATGCTCAAGTTAACTCAAAGTGTGACGGATGACAGCTGATATGATAGCTGCTTTGACACTGACATGCTCAAGTGAGTCCAAATAGTGGTAATTTCACTTATATTTTATTGATTAGATATTATTATTTCGATTCCAGAAGAAAAAGCATGTTTCAATCGGATCAAAAGTAACTCTGTTTCACTCGCATAATTTGAGTGCTCGGCTTTGTGGTCAAATATGTCTTCTCAGACAAAGTGTGACATTTGATCCTAATAAACCAATTTACTATTATGCAACGATCATTACATGAATATTACATGATCGTTGCATATAATACTATACATAGATTTTTTCAGTACTAAAATGATGCCAAAATCATCTATCAAAATATCATCAAAGTACTTAATGTATCTAACGAAAATCTAGGACAGTTTTGTGGAAGTTACAATTATTAGAAGAAATGAAAAAATATTAAAAACTAAAAGTTGCAATAGAACGTTCAAATTCGAGACATATTATAAAATTGGAATAGAAACAACTTTTTATAGTAATTTGAAATTCAAAGAAATGTCAATTGTCCTCGATTAATTTGAAAATAATTTAACTTTTGACAAGTCCCGTGGCTCGGACCCAGTGGGCCATTCTTGATCTTTTATGAAGGAAATCTTAACGTCCAAGTCGAATTTCAAGATAATTTTTATTATTATTACCATATGATACCAACTTTATGAATGGCACTGTATATAGTATTATTCAAAAACAATGATCTCTGTCCAGTATATCTTCAAAATCACAGTCAGTGTATTATATTATTTTCATAACAAACTTGAAACAAATTTTGTAGTTGAAAGGGATTAGCACAACATATTATTTTCTGCTACACTTTGAAACCTTGTCATAATGTGGAACAATGAGCGAGTGGACTATTTTTTTTTTTCTTAAATAGAAATTTTCGGTCGTTTTAAGGTGCTACGGTTATTTTCAATCGGCTGGAAATTTACCGCGAGTAAAAACTGACATCACGATTTGGTAAGTAGGTGCAGACCATACTGACCATAGCACAGTTGCCATATGTGGAAATACGATTGGAAACTTCTGAAATATCAGTTATAATTGATGAATTCTCAATTATGTACCTACTGGTCATATTCCTAATTAGCAATAAAAATCAATTGTCCCAAAATGTTCCCTCATGTGTTGTGGCTTATTGCTTATAATAATTATATTAATTCACACAAGAGGACAATCGAACTGGTAGACGTGAACGCGGCGCACAAACTGTGGGCGGTGTCTTGTCAGTTCTTAGCAATTAGCACGATGTCGCCGAGTCTCCAACATTCACATGATATTTTGTTATGGAGTATAACATGCTGGTTGCTAAGTCAAGAATTAACTATAATATCATGGCTACCTTCTACTATGTTTTATTCAACGACCGGACTCTAACATCTTTCTGATAACGTGATCAAAATTGATGACTTGACATCTTTGCTTCATTAGTGGGAATGGAAGATTATCAGACCAATAACGAAAAAGCATAAAAACTGACGTCAACATTTATTCGCCCAGCAAACATCGAATCTCTGGCCGCCTTCTGGCCCAATGCATGATCAGTCGGCAGAGTGCTGGCAACGGTTGAGATGCAACTGGCGAACGTCGGCCCATTGTATGGTATATTGTAATCGTTTATCCATAATCCAGCCAGCACTGGACCAGTAGTATCAAATCGTGATGCCATTTCACTACGTCGTCTAAACATCGGCCCTTTGTATGGTATATTGAAATATTGAAATTATTCAACTATAATCCAGCCGGCACCGGGCCAATAAAAGGCATCCGCGCTTTACCAGACTTCATCATATGATATTACCTACACATCAGCCCTCTCCTGTGTAATTTCGATGAAAAGATATCTATACTTTATGATGGAAAAATGTAAAACGAAATATTGGGAAACACTTAATCAGTTAGTACATAATATATGATACGATTGTAAATAATGAAATATTTTTTCCGCGAACTCTATGATTAATAATAGTTTTCTAAGGTAGATAGGAGTTGAATTGAGTATACCTAATTCTTGAATGTTGAAAAACGAAGTTTCCACACTTTCAACACTATTATCTATAATAAAATAGGTAGGTATATTTTCATTATCTTCTAGTGCTACCTATATACAAGGTGATTCTAAAATAGGTGGTCAAATTTTGGGAGCATATAGAGTGGGTGAAATAATTACGAAAACCTCTGTAACATTTTTTTCTGAAGTGACCCCCAAGAAAGATACAGCCCCTCAAAGGGGGGCCTCGGAGAATGATTTTGTATTATTATCTCCAACACCTTGTATAATGAAAATCTGAAATTTTGTCTATCCACTTACTATTCCGTGCCGGTTCGAATGGGGTTAAAATCACCTCAAAATAAAATACAGGGGTGTCTCAAAATAGGGAGGTAGGGGGTAAAAATAACCCCAACTTTTTTGTTCATCGCAATTTCAGTTTTTTGACATGAAATTATGAAATCTCAGGGCTATTTACATGAAAAAGGTGCTCTTGTTGCATCTCGATAAAATTAACTATTAGCGAATAAAATTTAAAAAAAGCTTGTTTTTAACAATATTTTTCATTTTAGTATTTTCAATAGGATCAGACCATAATTACGAAACTCGTCGTCTATTGTTAATTCATCAATTCCGACAATGAATTCAAAATTTCCAACACCAAAAACCCTTACAAACCAATTCTGAATCGAATCGGACCATAATCACAAATCTGGTCAGCCACATTGGAGCCGCCCTATTTTTTTCTATCAAAAAGTCCATAACGCGTTGTCAACTGTGATCTGCCAGATTCCAAGTTGATCAGACGATTAGAAGTAGGTGAAAATTCAGTTGCAAGATTTGAACTAGATAATTAAACTCAAGTGCATACCAAAATTTCAATTTAAATGAAATCTTGGAAAAATAAATTTTATTCGCTAATGGTTCAGTTTATCGTGATCCAACAAGAGCTCCTTTTTTATGTTGATAGCTCTGAGATTTCATAATTTCATGTAAAAAAACTGAAATTGCGATGAACAAAAAAGTTGGGGTTATTTTTACCCCCTACCTCCCTGTTTTGACACACCCCTGTTTTTAATTTTGAGGTGATTTTAACTCCATTCGAACCGGCACTGAATAGTTAGTGGATAAACAAAATTTTAGATTTTCATCATACAAGGTGTTGGCGATAATAGTACAAAATCATTCTCCGAGGCCCCCCTTTAAGGGGCTGTATCTTTCTTGGAGGGCACTTCAGAAAAAAATATTACCGAGGTTTTCGTAATTATTTCACTCACTCTATATACTCCCAAAGTTTGACCACCTGTTTTAGAATCACCTTGTATAAAGTGATCCTTTCGATAGTGATGGAGGAATAGTAAACGTCAATTCATCTTTTATATTATTTTTCGTTCTTCAACATTCCGTTGTATACGTATAGGTATCCGATATTTGCTCGCTGATAGCTAAATAAACCTACCACCTAATGGAGCCATCATATTTCACTAAGAAATTAAAAACAAACTCAAGTGAGTCACATAAACTCGTCTACATGCGTCTACTTTATCGGAGAATTAGAAATGTCTGTCCTCTGTTGTGATATGATTATTATGAGAATTCATTGATAGTACTCATAAGTCATCCGTAGTCAATACCTAACAAGAAGTGAAAATGGCTCAATTGGTAAGATCCCGGCTTCGTCCAAAGGTCGCAGGTTCGAACGTGGCGACCGGTATTTTTTTTTTAATTTTAGGTCTGACGGTATACAGACATCGGTTCGGCCGTCGGCCAGAGTGACCTATTGACGTCTGACCGACGTCGTTTGCCACGTCGGCAACTTCTGGCAAGCAGGTTTTGGGCCGACGTAATAACGACCGAAATTGTTTGCCCGGCGACGTATCGCCAAATGGCGGCAATGACGGTACGTTTGAAATGAGCTCAGAAATTCAACGATTTTGAACGCAATGACGATACGTTTGAAATGAGCTCAGAAATTCAACGATTTTGAACGCATAGACTCATTATTTACATAAAAAGCGTGAGAAGTATTGTGAAAATTAATTTAGGTCCCCAACGACACAGCAGTGGAGTAACTGATTGCCAATAATTCATCATCAGTCCACTCGCCCATTATAGATAAAATTCTCAATTAATATTTCCTTGGGATTGATACTCACCAGTTGATTCTTTGAGGCTTTCCTCTTTTAATTTTAGAGTTTGAGTCATGAAAATGATCTCTTTGGTTGCTACCTCTAGTTCATCACGAACTTTTGACAATTTATCCCTCATGAGAAGATTTTCACTTTCCACATTCTATAAAATCAACATATTGATAATATGATCATGACATCAATTAGCTACAAGAACGTACTTCAATGTCCCGTAACAGTTCAGAAATTTGTTTATTTTTATTTTGTAGAGTATCGACAAGTTCTTTCTGATGATCTTTTATCGTTTCGGATATATCAGATTCACTTCCTGCATCGTGAGGAATTGATTGCAGCTCTTTTTCCAATCTTCTATTTTCTTGCTCTAAAGATTTCATCTTATTGGATACCTGTAAAAATCGATACCTAATCAGTTCAACACAGAGGTAGATATCCAGTATCATGTACATGGACATACAAGATATATGTAATAAACTCCACAAACGATAGGATTTCCACAAAATTTTTGATAACACGACATGTTTTGCTACACTGTAGCTTCTTCAGGTGAAATATTCGTACAATAAACTGAACTTACATTGACAAGCATAACTTTTATATCATACCTTTCAAAACTGAAGGATTGAAATTACTTGTGGAAAGGTAAATCAAGCCTTCATTGTCGGAAAGTACCTACGCTCAATAATCTACTTTAGATTAGGTGTACCATTGTCGTTCTAAACTACTCAACACTAATTTCGTCGCACACCAAAATGTCGCCCCTGTTATAATGTGAATAACTTTTTTCAGTTTAGAACAATTCGAATTTGGTTCACACTGTTCGATAGCCCAATCCTTCAGCGATAATCTCGTACTTCATTGAAACATAAGGGTATTCACATAAAATCTCTACATGGTGTTTTCCGACACTGTGCGAAATTTCGGAATATTCAAAAGGCTCTCAAATGGTGAAAAAAATGTTTTTCTCAACTTCGACAACAGAGGCATGAAGATGATCTCATTACCTCGAGATATTTCGCGAATCAACTTCCTATCCAAAAATTCGTGTCGGAGATAAGCCCTTTGAATGGATCGGACTGTCGTGTTTAGCAGATCCGCGATTTGGAGGGAAGATAGCCCTTGTTCCCTCATTTGTCACATTTGTGGAATCAGTTCCAACTACTCGGGCGTTGGATGCGGCATCGAAACTATCAAAATCTGTTTATGATTCGAAAACGACGTCTAACCTGACTTGTCACTCACTTGACTCACTTACTGTGATTCTTGTAACGTTGGTTACGGGCCATGCATTACAGAGGAGAAATGGTCTGATGTTATTGCAAGAACATGTTCCAATTGTGTTTTCTCACGCACATTCTTGAGAGCGAGGAAAATATGGACACATCCAGAATGAATTGTTTTTCCGAGAACAAGTTGATTTTCATTCAATTCTCCTCCCAACCAAGATTCGGAGAGCGTTCCAGATTTGGGTCACTTTCAAGAAAACTCTAGATCTTTGATAGCCATCTTGAGTCAATTATGATATTCAGATCTCTTCATCTGAAGTTTCATCTTCAAAATGAGCCTAAGATTTCCAAAATCGGTTGACGTGGAAAAAAGTTATAGCTGCAAAACCAGAAAGTTGATTTTTTGAGATCATTCAGTAAATAAGAGAGATAGGAAGTTGATTCGCGAAATATCTCGAGGTAATGAGATCATCTTCATGCCTCTGTTGTCAAAGTTGAGAAAAAAAATTTTTTCACCATTTGAGAGCGTTTTGAATATTCCGAAATTTTGCACAGTGTCGGAAAACACCATGTAGAGATTTTATGTGAATACCCTTATGTTTCAATGAAGTACCAGATTATAGCTGAAGGACTGGGCTATCGAACAGTGTGTACCAAATTCGAATTGTTTTAAACTGAAAAAAGTTATTCACATTATAATAGGGGCGACATTTTGGTGTGCGACGAAATTAGTGTTGAGTAGTTTAGATGACAACCTAGTTAGGTAGTTAGTATACCTCCTCGCACTAGGTCGCCTACTAGGTTTTCATTTAGATCGACAATGGGTGTACCTAGCGGATCAACTTGAAAAGAATAATTACCTACTAAGAAAACGAATTCAACAACGGTGAATTATTGATATCGTCTAGTTGATCGGTCAGTAAAATATTTGAATTTTTGCGTTTTTTTGTATCTCTTGGAGCGCACGAAAGGAATTTCGTTCGTGGAACATCGCGCGTACCTAGGTCGTTTGTGCTGAAGTTTATTACATTTACTATAGATTTCCATCAAGTAACGGCCGATTCACTTAAAAATACAAGATATATAATGGATGTTCATTGTATCTGGTAACAAGTTATAAAGTACCTCCCTCTACAACTCGCTCATTTTTGACAGTAGAAAAATAATTAATAACAGCCTCACAGGAGATTCTACAATCTGCAAAAATATAAAAGGAGCAGCAAAAAGTGTATGAATTTCAAGTTAAGTACCCAATATATTTCCTCACCATTGTAATATACCTATAATTAATATCTACCTTATTCCGATATTTAAGGGTGCAAAAAAACTGAGTTTCATCGATTTTTGAACTGTTCTCGAGAGAAGGTCGTGAAAATGATTTCAAATTCAGGTAAATTCGATATATCGTTGCATGACATTTATTACTCATTTTCGGTAAACATTGAAATAGTATAATGTTTAACTAGCACGGAATGATAATGATTTCCCACGAGAATGAAGTATACCGTAGGCGAATGCTGCAATCATTCGAGTGGAAAATTAGCATTCCGTGCGAGTTATATACTATAACTTTTCTACGGCTGTAACAGATGACAGCGGCATTTTTGATTTCTTTGTCTTGGCGCCATCTGATTTCCTCTAAGTAATGCCCATCTATTAGACAAAGCTGTCATTGCTTGAAATTAGACATTCCATGAATTGTGATATCAGAGACGGTAATGAAATTGATGACATACAATGTACCTCATTGATGTATAGAACACAGTAAAACAGAAATTTTTTTTAAAGCCTTAGAAAAATCAATATTGTGATCATTGTCATGGCCCAACTTGAAAATCATTCAAAATCGATCAAACTCTGTAAGTTTTGATAGCCCATATTTTGAGAGATACAGAAGATAAATATATTGAGTAAGGTATTTTTGAAAGGGTCTTTAAAAAGTCTTTCTAATATTGAGGAAATATAAAGGGTGTTCAATTCGATATTCAAACACTTTTTGTTTCTCCTTGTATATTCTTACAGATAGTGAAAATGTATATGTTGATTCGAGAAGGAAAAAATATTTCCTATGAGGTTGTTTTTCATTTTCTTTTCTACTGTCAAAAATAAAAGAGTTATAGGTGTGGTACTTCATAACGTGTCACTCGGTACATCCACAAACATACTAACAAAACAAAGGAATCACAGAAGAAAGATGGCGGTTGCAAACGCATTCATTCAGTCCTCTGGATACATTTTCTAAACTTGACATCCTGTGTTATTAGTGATATCTACTTTGAATTGAACACATCAATTTCTTTTTTCTGTGACGGTAGAAAAGTTTGGAATTCCATCTCTGTTGACAGGTTATAAAATGTCACTTTTCATAAATTACTTTTTTTCCGTGGAAAAAAAGTTAGTACTTTACACATATATATACACTTTTGATGGCTTTTGTTGTGCTATAGGTCCGAAAAATAAGTCAATAATTCCGTCTCCGAGAAAGAACTTCAAGTCCTGTTATCTTCCATTCGACTTCGCGGTTATGTAAATTACTAAACTACCACTAAATTCGCAATGTTTTGAAATCAAAACACAGGATTAGACTGACAGAAGTGACATCAGATATTTTATTACTTCAAAAGAATGAAAACTATGCCTACAACGCAGGTGTCCCTCCTGTTAAAAACTTCAAATTTCACGTCGATAATTTTGAGATTTCAAAATAATGTAATATCTTCTCAATATTGATTCGTATTCGTCCTTTCTTCTGTCACAAAAAGAAATAGTGTATTATACACGGGAAACATATTAGATTTAAGTTCCGCTACGCGTCGGGAGACAACACAACCTGGAGCCAAAATCGACTACTTTTTTCCCTTGTATAATAAATAACTATTACTTTCCGACTGAATTCATAGAATTTATTTCATACTAGATATGTACGGGATATTTAATTCAAATCATTCATATGTTTAATTAGACAAGTTAAAGATTGTTACGTCTGTCAGATATACATGCAACTTGAATCAAATGTTAAGTCTTCAACTTTTAGTGATTATAGATTTTAGCACTTGAATCTAATGTCTTCAACTTTTGAGTTATGATAGATTTTTAGAGTTCACTGGTGAGTTAAATTCTCCAAATAGGTGTGGGCTAGAATTTGACAGTCCTAAAAGATTGGCCATTCAATATTTAGTAGCCTTATCTATAGCAACAGTATGCTGATGCTCTATCATGGCTCTATAAAGTTGGATATTTTTTTTTATTTTTCGATTTTCTTTTCATGGAAAACGGCAGGGAATATACTTGATATAACTCCTTTTTAAAATATCCTAACAATTTTTTTTATAAAATTGTGTTCTGAATGATTCTACATAAAATGTCCACCATTTAGGTCCAATTTCACTTACTTTTTTCAAATCCAAGTTGATCTTTTCATTGTTACGTAATGTTTGCTTATATTTTGCTTTTAGTTCCACATATTTTTGCTCCAAATCTACAAAAATAATTTGTACATTTCAATGGGCATGGATTAAACCTTCAATGAGTTATTCTCACTTTCAAATTCCAAAGAACTTGATTTTCTGGATCTGGCACTTCTGAGTTCAGCATCAGAATCTTGCTTTCTTGCATCTTCTTCAGCTTGTTTGATAGCCATTTCTTCCAATTCATGAAACAAAGTCTCCACTTGCTCTCCTTTGTATTTCAGAATTTCTTGACAGACCTTCAGGAGTGCTCTTAAATTTTCTTTCTTGATTTCTTCAGATTCATAATCATACCAAGTTACAGTATTGTACAACTCATCTTTCTCTGTATCATTCAAATTATCGGTATTCAACGCTGATATATATTTCCAGTCCATATTTTTTAATACAAACTTTGGAATGCAATCAAAACTGAGAACATGATATGTTTGCACTTCATCAATGTGGTTGCATAGCAACAAACAATTCCGGATCGTGTATACGGGGCTTACAAAATGTTTGTATTGACACCAAACAACAGAATTCAACATTATTATTCATAGAGCCATAAACAATAAATGAAGGGGGCGCTGAGCTATTAAGGGTGAAAAACGGATAATCTCGATTTATGGCAATAATATAAGTCCTATGGAAAAAAGTTGAATAGCAAAGTTGTAGGTAATAAAAATATCTATTACTCTTGAGGTTACACTTTATACATAACCTCAACATGTATGTGAACAATTCAAATAACCAAATTTTCAGTTTTTCATGTCTACAAAATTTTTTTCGCGAAAATTGGTGCAAATACACTGTGATTTTTTCGATTTAAAATATTCCTTTTTTAATCCTATTTTGACTTAATATCGAAAAAGCACCGTAATATTCAATCGGAAATTCTCGCGTCTGATGGTGTGAAAGACAGAGTGTCCCATTTGAAAGCGAGCCACCTTCATAATTATTTTATTTATGACGCGATTTTCACGAGATTTTTTTTTATGAAATGTAGAGGTGGGAAATGTGTATTTTGGAGCCAAGCATTGTCCTTTTTTTTATCCAATGCCTACTAGATCAAATTCAGAGGCTGGAAAATCCAGAATCCTCATTAGCGATTATTTTAGAAACAATCCGAGAACACCACTGGAATCGGTGTCTTTTTAAATATATCTGTACCAAGTCTCATGTGAAAATCTTCAACATTAACAAATCTACAGCGTCTCATTTCAAAAGATCTTTCCCCCTCCCCTCTATATCTCAGCTATTAGTCGTGCGATCTTTATCAAATTGGAACCGGTATGAATGACTATCAATCACCGACCTATTACTCTATCTAGACTGTTAGTTGTCATATCCTAGCAACCCAAAAATGTAGGGTCAGTTGCTCGCCTGAAAACGCTTCTGCTCAACACGCCAAAACCCTGCTGCTGTCGTTCATGACTTTGACGTGGTATCGAAATCAACCTAGTATACATTTTGTTTATATGCAGTGGCAAGGTGGATGACGTCGTCTCAAGTGTTTTGTGTTTTATTTATGTCAGTTGGTCGGCTCAATAAAAATATAATATCAAAATTAAATAGTGATATAAATTTTTTCGTTTCATTTTCGCCAATCCTAGGAAATATGGAGTGGTTTGTTCTTTGCTGTAAGAATTCCATGATTAATAATTCTGGTATTTCTTTTCATCGGTGAGTTTGTGGGTAATTAATAATTCATTATTTTAATTTGCTTTCATCAGATGAGCAAGTATTCAGATGGAATGGAAACACGCATGTTTTATATATTCCTTCAGCAGTGAAGAATTTGAGTTCAGGTGTGAGGTGCCATACCTGCTCATCTATTTTGGGTTAAAAATTTACTCATTCAATAATGATTCTAGAATTCCTAAAGATAAGAGAAATGAATGGTTTGAGGCTATTAGGAGACCATTGGATCTTAGTCACTCAGGAATAATTCAGACTATTTCACACCAGACAGCTTTATGATGCTTCCAGGCAAGTCCATTTCACTTTGCGGTTACGTCAACAAACGCACAAGTTCGCAATTTTTTGAAATAAAATCACAGAATTGGACTGAAAGACATCTGATTACTTCAAAAGGATGATAAAGATACCTGCAACGCAGGTGTAATTTCTTTTACCTCAAATATCAGGCCGATAATTTTTTTGATTTTAATATAATGTGATATCTTCTCAATATTGATTCATCCTTTTTCCTGTCACAGAAAAAAATAGTGTATTATACACGGGAAAAATATTAGATTTTAGCTCGAGGTTTTTTGTCTCCCTCCGAGGTTTTTTGTCTCCCTCTGCTACGCGTCGGGAGTCAACACAGCCTCGAACTAAAATCTACAACTGTTTCCCATTATATAATGAATATTTATTGTTCATCAATCATGAGTATACCAAAATAAGATCGCTTACTTACTCTCAAATCTCAAAAATAATTCCAATATTTTTAAAATGACAGAGTTGTCGATTCTCAAAGAGGAAGGTGCAAACTGAAAAAGTGAGGGCTGCTTAGCTGTGTGCACGTGTATATACAAACAATTGTGTAAAATCTTGTATTTCATGCAAAATAGTTCATTCAAAATTATAAATAAACATGCTTTCGGCTACATGTATGCACTGATGATGGCTTTATAGCCGAAAGAGATTTGCTATGATATTTTGAATAAACTAGTTTGCAGGAAATACAAGATTTCTACAATTATTTATTTTCAAACTGAATAAGATTGAAAAACGTCTGCTTATTTTGAAAACAGCTAGATTTAGGGTAAGCTGATGAAGACCACCTTAAAATAAAGGAATAAAAAATACAGCTTTTTATTTCAAATATTGAAGTTGATGTCCATGTTTTCAGTGAACAGGGCCAAATTGATTGGATCTTCATCAACATTTTGTATATCATTCATTGGATTGTATCCATGACAACTATTACAATTGAATTTGAATACTCAATTTGCAATTTGGAATTAAATGTCAACTGAATATTTCTTTTGGAGAACAAATATTGTTTACTGAGATAACTGAACACAATTTGATAAGAATGTACTGTTACATCAAATATATAGGTATATTTTCATTGATTTTCACTGAGTAAGTCCTTTGGGAACCATTATTTGTTATTTACAGACTACAAAGATATTCAACCATCAGAATTCATATGTACTGCCATTGAAAACAAACAGTTATTATTCAATCCTGATTGCTATATTAGAATAATTTTGGACTATGTTTATGGAGAAGTTGGGATCCCAAATGAAATTCAAAGTAAAATATAACTCAATTTCTCTCAACTTATCTGCATCTCATTTATCTCAGTGAGCATAACATTAATCAATTGCTTGATCCAATATTTATTTTGCAGTCAATTGTGTATTTAATTCATTTTATTTTGAACATAAACATATGGAATCACAATATATAATGTGAATATTTTGATTATTTTAGATAAATTTGATTTTGCAACTGAAAAAGGAAAAGTTTTGAAAATCAATGATTATCCACCTAATGTTATTGGTCTAGAAATATTTACTGATAAGGAAACCTATTATATTGTTTATTGGGATGGTCAGTATTTCTTGTAAAATATTTCATTACATTCATCATAGTTTTACTGCAGATGACAATCAAATCAAACCAATGCTGGGTGGAGCATCAAGAGAAATCACAGAATTTGAAGCCTATCAAAGAAGAAGATCATCTCAATCCAAAGTATAAAATATCTTTTGATAATAAATTATACTACTTGTTTTTTTACTTTCAGAGACGATCTTCTGCAAACAAATCAAGCCAAGGTTCATCTCTGGTTAGTAATGAAACTAAATTGAGAATGAGTCAATCGAAAAACTGAACAGACCAATATCTATTGCTGAATAAGTCATCCAAGAAGGTTAACTAAATATTTCTCAAAATTCACATTAGAAATAATAATTCATATAGGTACTTCTCTCCAGCCTAGTTCAGTTTTGATTATTCAGTCTAGTTGAGGAAGGAGCAGCCTATTTACTACTTATAGTTGTTCATTGTTCTCCTGGAGTTATTTTTTTTCAAGATTTTTTCAATAAGTATTCATTTCCTTCTTTTCATTCCACAGTACCTAGATAATTATGTGGCCATAAATTTCTTGGTAGTTTCTTACTATGAAGCAACAGAACCAACAGAGGTGTAGAGAAATCAATTCAAAATAAAACCTGTCCCAGTCAAAATTATGCACTATAATAAAAATTGTTCAATTGAAAATACACTTTTCATAATTTACTCTTTGGATTCATATCACAGTCATCAGAATACTCTTTTTCCCACTCACAAATATTTCTCTTGGTCAAATTGTATGAATTTCCATGCCTCCCAAGTCCTGACATGAATTTAGTAGCACCTTCTTTGATACTTCTGAATGATAATTTATTGGAGTTTCTTCGTTCTGCATCAATCAGTTCCTCATAAGCTTTGTTAAATGCTGAATTATATGTAGATTGTCTATCAATATTGAGGCACTCTTGAGGAAATTTAACAAGAGAAGAAGCCAAGTTGATTGCTTGTCCCAAGGCTGGAAATTCAAGAGAAATGAAGAATGTAGGCAAAGTAACTTGATTCCTCACCTGTTCCACAAGAAACTATTCTGTTGGCCAATCCCCATTGAAAAGCTTCTTGGGCATTGAGAGATCTACCAGTCAAAATAAGGTCCAGGGCTCTTGAGAGACCTACCATTGATTGAAGCCGAACAGTTCCACCATCAGATAAGGGAATGCCAAATCTTCTGCTGTAAAAACCTAACACTGCTGTATCTTCCATTACGCGTAAGTCACATAATAAGGCAAGTTCTAACCCACCAGCTACTGTATAACCACTTATTGCTGCTATCATTGGTTTCTTAACAGTTTTAGGAAGAGCCTAAAATATATAATTTCTGGATCATTTTTACTATTATAGTTTTTCAACTGTAACTCATTATCTACCATTAATCCATTTGTCAAGTCTAAATCCTTTGAGTCAGCCAACTCTTTGAAGTCAAACCCAGAGCAAAAGTTGCCCCCAGTACCATATAAAACAGCAACACATGAATTCTGGTCATTTTCAAAATGTTCTATTGATTTGTTGATCAACCTAGCAGTCTCAGTATCTACACAGTTACGTTTAGACGGCCTGTTGATGCCTATAGTAGTTACTTGCCCTACATTATCTACTATTACAGCTAAAATTGTGATAGTTGCAATTACTTCCAAAGCTTAAGAAAATGCAATACTCACTATCCCTACTAGAAGAATGCATAGTCCTGGTTATCATAGATATCCTTGGGAAACCTTCTATTATTCTAGAAACTAATTTGATCAACATTTTTGATAAAACTCAATTTTTCACATGGTTTAACTTCGGTTAACAACTGATGTTCACTTATGAATTTCTCAAAATAAAAAAATGACGATTTGAAATTAGAACCGATTTGAAAAATTAGTAAGGGTTATCTTCTTCTTCTTTTGTTCTTATTTCTTCTGTTCTTCTTCTTCTACGCTTCCTAGCCCATTATCCAGAGCTTATAGAAGTTAATAGATATGGAGTTGGACATCCAGCCAGGTCTCATAATAATGGGCATCTCCCTAGCTTGAGCTTCTCAGGCAGACAGGCACTAGCCGTTTGATATCTGAGTTAAGAGCGAAGAGCGTGGGTAGTACTCATAGACAAACCAAAATTCGTTTCTCTATGGTAGTACTTGGATGGGTGACCATTCAAGGAAGCCCCGCGTAAGCCCGCACATCTGTAGCGAAATAGCATATCATAGCCACACCTACCATATCAATGAGCACAAAATATGGTACGGATACTACGGATAAGCCGTCCTCCGGAGCAGACTTCAAGCCGGCGGTCCCCGAGGCAATGGATGTTGGACTCGTTAAAGATCTCTACCTCTGTTGGAACACCAGAGGATTCGGCGAATTTTCCGGTTTTCCGGCGTCGGCGATTAGCACAGGCCGACGTTAAAAGAAACAAGAACAAGATCTCGTAAAACAGAACCGCTCGTGTGGTATTAGATGGGAATTTTAATATATGTGCCCTACAAATTCTGCTTGTCTTCAAATTAATTATCCATCCAGGCCGCTTCATACGACATTCCTTCAATAAGGAAATGGTTGGTATTTCTTTTGGAAAATTAAAAAAATGATATCCATTCTCTTCAGAATTCCTACAAATCATTACACAGCAGGACATTCATAAAATGAATTGTCAAATTCAAACAATTTTGAATGAAAAAGCGCGAAGGTGTGTAACTTAATTCCTAAATCTAAACATTCAAAAACACTAACAAGTGTCATTTCTGTGTCCGAACCACGTCCAACCCTCTTCTCTAATTAATACCATCAAGTGACTCATCTAGTGAAAGTATTTATTCACAACGATTCAAATATATACAGGGTGAGGCAAAATAATAGGTACCTACTATTTGGGATGTCAATAAAAACCAAACCACATAAAGCAAAACATCATTCGTTTTCATTTTTGAAATCTGCATTTTATGCCATTCAGGAACGTTATTTTCTGAACGTTATTTTTTGAAGATGATATTTTTTAAATGACGGCTATTATATTGTCTATGATCCCTTGTAGGTTCTCACGGAAGCGCGTCATTACCCGATGGATCATTTCTCGGTGAATTGCGGAAATTTCTTGTCTTATGCCTGCCATTAATTGTTCCACTTGCAGATGATGTATAAAAACTCCCGATTTGGGGGGTAACCCCATATGGTAACCCCAAAGAAAAAAATCGCAAGGCGACAAATCAGGCAAACGTGACGGCCAGCAGAGATCACGAAGGCACGCTGCGTCGCTATTACAGATCACCCATTTCTAATTTAGTCCTCGACAACGAAAGCATATGCACGATGCAATCCGCTCCAAGCAGTTCAAGCCATGTCGATAACTGAAAATTGCATACTATTGTCGGTTGTCTACCTAACGCTACCACGTGCAAAGTGTTGCAAATTTTACAAACCGAGCAACCACTTTTTAAAATCCTGTCTATTTTTTTGCCGCACCCTGTATAATATAAATATATTAAATTTAAATCTTTGGGGCGGTCTCTTTTTTCTCTCTATTGCGTTATCTGTTATTCTTGGAGAGACTTCCAAGTGATTTGGAAAATGTCTTCAAGATTGCCCAGATAACACAAGGTAAATGAGACGGGGTCTCTAGGACGTCCACCTGTTACCATTTTCTACATGAACATGACGTCTAAAACATATATCTTACTAAGATGATTATAGCCACCTTACATCTCACAACATCCAACAACATAATATAATCTCCAAAAATTCAAAAAAAAAATCCAATACCTACCTCCTGTCCCTATCCTCCCTAGGAACGCACGATGTTCTTTGAACATTATAGGGATTCCCTTTCGTGCGATCCAATCGATAAAAAAAATCCACCAGGGTCGACCTGATGACGTTTCACGGACCTTATTTTGAAGAAATCGATTTCTACATCTTAATCAAGGATGTATTGGAAAGAACTCGATAACAATATGAGATATTTTTTCTTGAGTAGTGTGTCAATGAAAATGATGAAGCTCCAAATTCGGGCCATTATATGTGAAAATTCACAGCCAAATTAAGTTATTAGGATGAAGAAAATGGGACGTCCTCTCTAAGCTTATGGTGACATTTTGAGGATGTTCCCTATATATAGGGTGACGTTATAGAAATATTTTTAGAACTTTTTCAAGTCTTTGGACGTGAACTGTAAAATTGAAATATAAAAATTGATAATTTTAGAAATATTATTTATAAAGAAATTTTAGGAACCTATTATACTTAGGTATATGCGTCATTCTTTTTATGATATTCAATAGGTATACAGGGAATATCTTCATGAGTTAACGTGATCTATCTATGGAGAGTTAAGCAGGACTCTGATTCTGAGAATCCAACTAAAATAAAATATGTTCGTAATTATGAAGCTTCCGGTTTTTCTGGAAGTGACGTGATCTTTGTTATTCTCAAGGGGACACTACCAATTTCACAACGATTTTGATTCAGATGGAAATTCATGTATCATACCCTATACCTAAAGTGAGAATGATGAATGTTTGCATCAAATACTATTTATACACCGAATGATTAATATGAAATAGGTTTGTGGCGTACATTCGACTAGTGTGTACAACCCCATTCTGCATAATAATTGCAAAAATGAAATTTTGGATGTTCAAGTAGGCTGTGCAAAATATGTTTTATTTCAACACATGAATTTAAGTTGTTCACTGTCAGATTCATCCTCTGTAAAAGTACAATATGGCTTGTGTTCAAGATTTTGTCTCATCACATTCGCCTTGAATCACTTTTATACATACTGTAATGATATTCCCCTTGGAGGGGCTTTAGAAACATCAGCAGGAAGGCAGGAGTACAACGATCATCCTGTATCACGCATCCCAGATTGCTCTCCAACCTCTCAATGATTCCTACATACACCAGCATATTTCCGAACACTCAATATATGCCGCAGTGACAAATAAACGTCACAGAAGATTCTGGAATGTTCTGGAAACAATCGATGGAACAATTAGAGAGACAGAGGTTTTGTTCTCGGAAGATCATTCGAGAACGTTCTCGAGCCAAAGCCTGCCATGTGTTCTCATATATAAGACGGCCGAACAACTGAGTCAGTTAGTCAAACAGCGAGTGTCAGAGAGACAGTTATATACCGCGTGTTATAAATCGTTTTACATAAATAGTTCTAAAATGTTCTAAAAAAACACGAGCCACATTTTGCACTTTTGCAGATGATGAATCTGTGATTCATTTGTCAAATGATATTTTGCACAGCCTTTTACAAAAATTCAATCAACGCGTATCACTATAAAATTGCAATTCCCATAAAAAAGAATAACTCCAATGACTCAAAAACGTTATAGGTAAAGGGTATGACACATGAATGTGAATCAGAATGACGAGACGGATTCAAAAATGATGTGAAAGACAGGGTGTCCCATTGAAAATAACAAAAATGGAGTTATATATACTTCCGGAAATACCGAAGGCTTTACAATCACGAGAATATTTTAGTTGGGTTCTCCATGTTTTCTTCACCATCCCTTCGAATTTTCAGAATCGTGCAACACTCTCTGTATGAATCGCGTCAACTCATCAAGATATACCCTGTATATGGTATTTAATTATGACAAACACACAAATAATTTAATAATCCTTAAAATTAAATCTCGATTGTGTTGGGCACGAGATTTTTTTAAAAAACGTACAAACCTTTGACTGGATAAAATGATCACCATTTATGCAATTTTCCTCACATATTTTTTGGAAAAAATCTCTTCTGCTGATGATGACTTTGTTGCCGAAATCGTTCCGAAATTTTATTTTAAGGATTCTTATGTTTTGTGTACAGGGTGGGCAAAATTGGGCGTTTTCACCGTCTATCTCAATAACTAGAGGAGTTATCGAAAAACCGATATACATGTTCCTGGTTCGATTTTGGAGAAACCTCGAATGGCACAATCAAAATTTAGATATCTTATTTCTCTTTAGAGATACAGGGGGAAATTGAAAATTTGCCGATTTCGATTTTATTTTCTGACTACTTTACGGTGAGAGGTATCATAAAATTTCAAACGTATATTTATACAGTATGATGCGTGGAATCCATTGGCATCATCAGAAATTTTATACAGGGTGACGTTGAAAAGATACGGCAGCCAATTCTGTTCTTTCTAATGGAACACCCCGTATATTTTGGCACAGTTGAATAGTCCCAGGCGTTCTCATTACAAATATATATATAACCCTACCTTTTCCTTCCACAATTTCAGATATATTCGCAAAAATATATTCAGTGTGTCACATTTCTTATGGTTTCAACCCCGTATCTTCTGTATCTGGAATTTGGACATCTTCTATAAGGCTATATTTTTCAACGCAACCTACTGATTTCCTAATTGAGTAAATTATTGGTCTTATTTCTGTATCTCAAATGTCTTGATAACAATGATATCAAATCGAATAATTTCCCATTTTATTTCTCACCAAATATCCATTTGTCTGGAAATAACATTCCCTATGATATTCATTTTCCACCTTTGGTGAATATATACCTACAGAGTGTCATTTTCAACCTCGATTCTGCCTGTTGATAGCATTATCCAGAAATATCGATGATTCCATAGCTGCTGGCGAGCAGTGATCCCACTTGGTCCATGACTCCATGAGTGTATCATTTGTATCTTTCTGACAGTTGCGAATTTTTGAATCCTACCTTAATTATTTTTACAGAAGATACGGGGGTGTAACCATACGAAATTTGACACACTGAATATATTGTTGCGAATATATCTGAAATTGTGGAAGAAAAAGGTAGGGTTATATATATATTTGTAATGGGAACGCCTGGGACTATTCAACTGTGCCAAAATATACGGGGTGTTCCATTAGAAA